ATAGTATTTATATTTCATACTATTAGTACTAGTACTAGAAAGGGAATCATGGATGTAACGGGTCATGCCAGTACTAGTAGTGTGTTTTGGTGAGTTAATTTCTTTTACTAGTAAGCCACCCATGGACGTCGGACCAGCTAAAAAAACAGAGTCTGATTACCAGAGATACTTGTATCTGATTTGGCCATCCTCGTCCTCCTTCTTGAGCGTCTCCTTGTTGATATTTCGCAGCCAGAGACCCAGTGCAGCTGCCAAGATGATACCGCCAGCGGCAAACGAAGACAAGATAATTCCGCCCGTGCGATACTGGGGGGCGTCGGAAGTTGGGAAAAAGTAGGATCCGTAAATGTTTGACGAATTGCCGAACAAGTTGACCAAGGCATAGACGATAGCACGCTTTGTTCTGGTTCTAGGAATAGTACTGGCAATCCAAGCCTGGACAACGTTGAATGCTGAGTAAGAGCCTGCACACATCAGGAACATGCCCACATAGCGTGGTGCTGTCGAAGTTGTGCTAACAACCAAGACGTTGCCGATTATGTCCACAAGTAGAGGCCACATGATCAAAATAGCGCGCTTGTCTGTATACTGGGCGATGAAGGAGTTTCCGAGCGAGGTAAAGAATCCGAAAACGTAGACGGGCACGGTAATGAGAAGCGTTATTGTGGTATTGAATCCAAGTGTCTTGACAATAGACTGTTTTTGAGATGATGATTAGATACTGCTTCATCGCACAACAAAAGCGTACTAATTGCACTCACTGGGAAGAAGTATGTCCATGTCTGCGATGTGAGCTGGCAGACCTGAATTGCGACTAAAATCCAGGCCTTCGGGTCAGTGAAGGCATCAACAAGGGCTTGCTTAATTGATCCATTCTCATCAACCTCATCGTTCGCAGCTTGAGCCAATCGCCACTGCGCAAAGCGCTGTTCCTGTTCTGAAAGCCACTTGCGTTGACCCAACTCGGGGAAATCAGGAAGCAGCAGAACTGCGAAGAGTCCGGCAACCATGGTACCAGCACCCTCAATGATGAAGAGCCATCTGTGAATTTCTGGTCAACAGGATACCTTCATATAATGGTCGAAGAAAGGGACAGTACTGACCTCCATCCTGCTAATCCACCGGCTCCATCCATTCCATCCAAGATACCTGCAGCAATGAGACCGCCGAATCCGTTGGCGATTGTATTACCGCAATAAAGCACCGCCACGCGAGGGGCAATCTCCTGAGGTTTATACCAGGAGCTGACCAAGAGACTAGTCATTCCGTCAGCATTTTGATATAGGTAGAGGGACGTTACTCTCATCTTACAGTGCACCTGGGAAAAAGGGGGACTCGGCAAATCCCAATAAAACCCGAACCACCATGATATGAGCAAAGTTTTTCGTCCCCGCAGCAGCCATCGAGATTCCACCCCATATGAAGATAGCAGCGGGAATGTACTGAGAAGGTTTCACGCGAGTAAGCACGATGTTACTAGGGATTTGGCCAAGAAGGTACCCCACGAACTATACAAAAAAGTGTCAATTGCCAAGTTCAAACGCCAAGAGGGGCCAAGCTCACCATAATAGCCACGGCGGTTTGGTATTGGGTGTCGCTGAGGCCAAGATCATTCTCCATGCCGCCAAGCCGCGCATTGGCGATATTTGAGCGATCAAGAATATTGAATATAAAAAGCAGACATAGCGAGGAAATGAGATGAATGTCAACTTTCCACACGACTATCTCATATCGTCAGTAATTGTAGCCGTAGGCATTGATGTCACAGTGTGGTGACGGGTGGTTACTCACGTCGCTTTTCAAGTTCTCTACATTCCTCTGAAGTCAGACCTTCAAATGTAGGCTCTTGGATAGTAGCCTTTGGAGAAATCTCCAAATGACTGGTCTCGTTCTCCTTGGTATTTTCCACCTCCATGGTTGTTTGCAGATATGTGGGATGTTTTTAAAGAAAGAAAAAAAGCACGCAAAGTGAGATACAGAATTTGACTCACAATATTGCTGCTAAGTTATATCTAAACCACAGGCTCTCGACATCTCCATCCCTACTAGACCCCTCTCTTTCCTCTCGAGCTAGTGCCCAAGCATTCGCGTAGCGAGACCCCCCCGGTTGTGGAGAACCGCGTCACCCCGGATTACGGTCGGATATCCCCGTGGGCGCGGAAAAGGTCAACGGATTCTGACCGAATGGCGCAAAGGGTCCCACAGATCAGCATTTGCCCCTCAAATAAGGAGCACAGAGACCTACCGTAATCTAGGTCTTACTACAGAGTACTGACAGTGCGAATGCTAGTTCGGATTTAAAGTTACTGTGGACGAAATTCAGGTAAGTGGAAACATGGTTTCCTCCATGGGACTATTCATTGATTCGTGGGTGCAGGTTTTAAAGGGTATACTTGAACAGAGGCGATTTATCTCCCATGTCAAGCAGTTGTTCATCGGTGTATCTCGAGCGAATGTCGACTTCGCTCATTGCAGCATTCTTCTTGTTGGCCCACATAAAGGAGAGCTCAAGGATCACGGCTGCCACAAGGGCCGAGCCACCAAATGCCAATGACAAGCCAAAGCCGGTGGGGTAGGTTGGGTCTTCTTTGTCAATGTACATATAGCTGCCGATGATTCCCCCGATATTTCCGACACAAATATTGAAAGCGCTACCAATAGCGCGGCGATTGGAAGGGGCCAGATTGTTCATGGTCCATGACGTCGTGGCTGGGTGGGTAGGGTAAATACCCATTGTGGTCAGAATAATGGCGAAGAATCCCGGGCCGATATTGGCTTTCAGGTTACCATTTAGACCCATAATAATAGAGTATCCAACCACAATTATTAGCAGTGGGATCACAACAAATGGCGCACGCCAGTAGAACCGGTCAGATAGCACGGAGAAAAAGATGGCGGAAATAGCACCCGCCACGTAAGGGGGGACTGTCATCAGCTGTGCGGCTGTGTCTTGGAAGCCCATACCCTTGGTAATGGTTGGAAGCGTGAATTTGGTTCCTGTTTGTGGGGATCAGCAATTTTCGTCGCCCTTGACGAGAGAAGAAACATACCGTAGGAACAGGCTGACTGGGCAAGCAAAATGTACGCCAACAGGTACATTCTCCAATTCCCCAAAACGGCCTTAATGTCCTTCCATGAAGTGGACTTACGCTCCTCTTGGAATTGTCCACCGTCTTTGATGAAATGCTGCAACTCCAAGAAGCGAATTTCGTCCTGGCTCAACCACTTTCCGGACAACTTTGGCGAGTCGATAAGGAAGAAGAAACAAAGTACACCCAGGACAACAGTGGCGATTCCCTCCAGGATGAAAATCCAACGCCAGCCTTCTAGACCACCCACTCCACTCATTTTGGCGATACCGGCTGCCAGTAGGCCAGAAAATGCGCCCGAAAGGGCACTAGCGCAGTAGAAAACAGCCAGGCGAGTTGCTAGATGCTTTGGCATATACCAGAAAGAACACAGGTACACTGCACCGGGGAAAAAACCAGCTCTATCAACGGAAGTCAGCGCGACGAATCTAGTGTCATGCAATGGAACGGCAAACTTACTCAAAAACACCTAGCAGAATGCGCACTACAAGCAGGCCAGCAAAATTCTGGACAACCCCAGTCAGAGTCATTATAATTCCCCAACAGATAATAAGGATTCCAAGATAAACTGAAGGCCGCTTGAAGTTCTTCAGAAGCATATTACTTGGGACCTCTGGTAATAGATTAGCGATGGATGGAAATATCAGATCATGTCAATTCTTACCTAGCAAGACATATGGAATAAAAAAGAGACTGAGCGCAATGTTATATTGGATTCCAGTCAGCCCCAGGTCTTTTGTCAGTCCTGCAATCTTCGCATTGCCGATATTCGCCCTATCGAGATGTGAAATCAAGTAGAGCACAGCTAGCATGGGCACCAAGCGAATGTCAACCTGGTAGGTGTTAATAAATCAACCGTCGTGAGCGAAGGAGATGGATATTACCTTGTGCAAAACTGTTTTTCTCTGCTCTGGCGTGAAATTATGGTAGAAGTCGGCATCCTCAGGGGATAGTCCAAGAACTTGAATACCATCGATAACTGTCAAATTGCTGTAGTCTTCGACATGGTCGGGGGAGCGCTGTTTCTCATCTGCCACATACTCAAAAGAGGCACGTTCCGATTGTGAAGGAGGCATCATTGAAGTTTCTGACCCAGTACACAAATATTATGCAAGGCGTCAAAGGTCGTTCCAGCACTGAAAACCAAAGCGGGACAAGAACATCTTTATAGCGCGTATGAGAACTATCAAATCTCGGCGTGCGGAGGACAAGAGAGCTTGAGCACCTAGCCAAGCCTCCAGGAAGGGCCATTTGTCGCATCGTCTGGGGTTTCTCCTCTCTCACAAAACCTCCTAGTCCTCTTGGCGACGGCGAAGTTTGGGTGAGTTGTCCAGAGCCAAGAAATCCCCATATCCACGAGGGATTCACCCCGCAATTTGGTTGGAGGGGAGATCCGGGGTGCAATCCACTTCTCCATTCAAGCTCGAGCACATTACGCGATGTTTGGTTGCCATCCTGGTTTGCATTCAGCCCCCGAACGACACTTCGGATTGCTCCACAACTCTTTCCGCTTCTTCTCCGTTCTTTCTCCGGCCTTTATCCGCCGGGTATTCGTTTTCCGGTATTTACTTCTCCGCCTGTCGCACTTTCAATCCACTTTCCTACTTTTCCCAAGAGTTGCTCCGAGGGGCTCACCCGTTGCTGATTGATCATGCTGCTATATTGATCTCCGGGGTTTTGGGTACATAGAAGTCGCCGTAGATGGAATTTGAGTTTGGAATTCAAGCTTTCATAGTTTTTCTCTGTGACGTGGAAATAGTATCCCATGAACAACAATACCTTTCCTAGGCCGACGACGCATCGGATTTGCCAGTAAAATCAAAGTTGAGTCACCGGACTTCCCCACCGAATTCCGCCGCAACTTCTTTTTACCACACCACATCTTTCGGGATAAACAACCTTGGAAAAATCATGCCACCGCCATCCCACCAACTCAAAATATGTGCCGTACAAATCCGCCCGGCCCAAGATCCTGATCTGCCCCAGATTCGCGCCATCAATGCCCACTACATTCTCCACACGGCACTCACATTCGCGGAGACTCCGCCTCCGCACGAAACATACCGTGCCAAGTTTACCGATCTAGTCGCACGTGGACTACCGTACCTCGTTGCCGTGGCCGAGGACTCGGCCAATGACGAGCTCTTCCCACGAGCCCGAACTGGTAATCAACAAGTTGTGTTGGGCTACGCTTATCTCTCGCCTTTCCGCGGCCATCTGACTGCGTATGCGCCGACTGTGGAGTTGAGTTTGTTCTTGCATCCAGCCTATCATTCCCAGGGGATTGGAACAAAACTACTTGCGGAGATTGTGACGCTTTTGCGGGAAAGAAATATCCACCACGTCGCTATCGCTGATGAAAGCGCCTCTGGGTCTGGCGATTTTGGCAATAATTGCCCTAAATCGCAGACCATACCTCCTACGGTCACGGTGGAAAATATAGTTGCTGTTATGGCGGTGGATCCGGAGGGCAAGGATCAAGGTGAGGCGCTACGCAGGTGGTATATTAAACGTGGATTCCAGGAGTGTGGAGGACTCTCCAGAGTTGGATTTAAACGGGGCCATTGGTACATTTAATTCCGCTTCTATCCAAATTATTCATCCCACAGTGGCTCACGAAATACCAGGATTGACACGGTTTATTTGCAGTGTTCTGCTCCACTCGAAACCCTATTGAATGCCTAATCTGCATATATGTCCAACAAAGATACGAATCAACATAATGTCATATGTACATGATAATTTCTCGACACAATTACGGCCCAGAATCCGTGCTTGATGATTCGACAATCATAGCAGCATTGTGTTCCTCCTCGCGGGCGCGCTGGACTGTTTGGGAGTATTTCTTGCCCGCAATCAACCACCAGCACAGTTCCAGGATGAGGAACCCGCCAACGACAACACACGTGTAGTTCATATTCGAGACTGTCGCTGGCATCTCGAAGGGGAAAGAGAAGAATACGATCGCAAAGATAAGCCACATCGCGGAAATGATATTTACGCTCATTCCCACGGTTTGGCTCATGTGGAATGGGCCTGCATGCATCGTTTTGCGGCGCAGAAGAACGTTTGTTACAATCGGAACCAGGTAGGCGAGGTTGTTGACGGTTCTGGTGCTGTTAGTGATAGGACATCTTCTTGTTGGAACTGAATATACTTACACTGCGGAACTCATCATCGAGTTAAATGCTGTCGTGGATCCCAAGTAAATGCAGCCAAGGAGAGCGATAATGACACCCACGCAGAGCTGGGCATTCAGCGGAGAGCCCAGTCGGGGATGGACGCGCGCCCAACTACATTGTTGACAGCAGTTAGCTTAATTGTCAAAATGCTTTCCAAAATAGATGTGCTTACACTCTCGATAAAGGAAGACCTTCGTCCCGAGCAAAGGCCCAGAAAACGCGTCCGGTGCCTAATCAATCAATTAGTATTCTTTCAATCATATCGAGATCTGCCATGGACTCACTCAGTTGAGATCCAATCACGCAGGGGCCGAGGGCGATCCAGATCATAAAAATGAGACCAAAGGCACCGCCCTTGGTTGACGTTGCTTGCCAGAAGATCTCAGCCAAGGGAAGGCCGGTTGGCGTATCGGCCAGGGAGTTGTAGTTTTGAACAGAGAACATCAGGCTGAGCAAGTAGGAGACACCGGTCACGAATGCGATTGAGAGGGTAATAGCTGAGGGGTATTAGTTTCCTGAATATTCTTGGAATTTGGATATCAACTCACCAAGTCCAAGAGGGGCATTTCTTCCAGGCTTGATGAGAGTCAGTCAACCATATTCTGTCGGATATTCACCGTCTTTGACTTACATTGGGCATTTCCTCAGTGATATGCTATGACTTGTTAGGAATGTTATTTCTCGAGAACCATGGAATCCCGATAACCTACTGATATTCCGTCCAGTCCTCCCAAGGAGTACAAGGGATTGACCAATCCAGTGATGAAGCACATAGCATTATTTTCCCATCCGGTGTTATTGATCCAAGTTCTAAATACGAACTTGCTATCATTATGGGTCGGAGCCGCGGCTGCTACCGTGACCATTGTGATAAACCATGCAAGCTGGAGGTAAACCACTTTGGGAAATCAGCCACCAACACACACAGAATTACATGCCCCTTCATGAAGCATCGCGCACTCAGAAGCGCCAATTGTAACTCACAAGAAAATTTATTGATCATCGGAATGAATCTGTTCCCGAACATCACAATTCCAGATGTAAATATGTTCAGAATCTGGTACGCGACAAAGGTCATCCAGGGTTGAATGACCAAATCCTCGTGATATAGTGCAATCAATGCCATGACAGTCGTAGCATAAATCAAATTCGTTGACGCGGTCGTAAAAATCCCTAGGAGAAATTCAATCAATATCCACATACACCATCATTCCGGAGAATTTGGACAATATTCTCACATCCAAAAACCGTGCACCATCCCGTTGCGAAACTCAACACGCTGTTATAGCGCTTTGGGGCAATAGCGGCGATCCAGTGGTACATTCCTCCTCGGTCGGGTATGCCGAGACGAATTCAGCGAGCGAGGCCCCGACAAATGATTGCAGTATGAAGACAAGAATAAATCCGTAGATAACTAGAACAATGTCAGTTTACTCTCTGCATGCACCACCGTGGTGGGAGCCAAAAAAAAAGGGAAACGAAAACAAAGCACTTACGTGCACCAGGTCCGCCGGCGTTGATCGCTGTGATTAAACCCAATCCCAGACCTAATTTCATCAGACACTGTAAAAAACATATAAAGTGTCGAGGTTCGATAATATTGTACCTGTCCAAGAAATTGTGCAGTTTGCAGCCAAGCCGATCAAGCTCCAAACCGAGAAATGGCGTTTCAATTCCTGTTTATGGCCTGTGGATTTGTTAGGACGGTCTCGCTTCGATCATAACGTGGTAATAAGATAGTAGAAAAGGAAGTTCTGAAAACCCACCCATCTGAGCCAGACGCAATTCGTCTTCATTTTGCACCTTGATCACAGCAGCGCGACCATCGGAGGCCTTGGCTTCTGGTGCGGCAGCATTAATCTCTGGGACACCCATGATGCTTGCTTGATGAAAACCAAGGATGATATTTCGGGGGAAGATGGAATGATCAATTCAAGGAGGGCGGGCGCAAGGGCATTGGAGGAAAGATTCGAAATCGACGCGTGCCCCGGTCGCAGGACTTTTTTAAAGTCGCCCTAAGTTTTAGAGCATGCCATTCCATATATGGTATCTCTCCTTTATCGTGCTGCAGCTCTTATCGGCTAGCAACAGCAGCGTTGTAACCTTATGGGGAAAATTGCCGGTTTCCCCGGTCTTTTCCCCGGTGAGGGGATAGCGGGGAAGGACGAATGAGCGATTGCGAACCCCCAGAGACTCACTCTAGAGGTGGGGACTTGGCCATTCAATGAGTCTTCATCACCGGCGATCAGGGGTCTTCCCCGGCGGGTCACCTGGAGGCAGCTTCATGAGGGTTGAGGAATGTGGAGATGGTTGCGGGTGATCAGAAGCTTTCTTGACGCTTAAGCACTGGCAGCGCTACCGTCACATCCTAGAAAGCTTTTGATCGTGTAAAAAAGTTATTATCATGTATAGTCTAACTTTCGTGGTTACTACTACTTATCATATAAATATCACGTGAGATCACTTCTATAAATTTGCGAAAATTTACTACCTTTCGTGAGGTCCCGAGGTCTTTGGACTCGGAGGTTCAAGTTCAAGTTGGAAGATGAGGTCGGCACCGGGGATCAGCTAGCATTCTCCCGAATCCATATTAACATTGGAATACTTTTTCGACGCACCCTACTTGTATTCCGAATGAACTTGAACCTTGAGAGTCATCTAAATAAATGCGAACGAAACAAAGATACTACTGGTACCAACTTGAAGCTATAACTTGGAACTCCCTGTTTCCTGACTCCATGAGCAAGTGTCCAATCCATCTGCCTTATTCAAGGCCCTCTTTCCGTGTAGGAGGGATTCCTTAGGTGAAATCAAATGCACACGGCAGGGTCTCCATATAAAAATTCTCCAGAGAATATCGGAGACATTTATCTCACCGATGATCCTGTGCGCGCACTTTTCAAAGTGAACAATATAACATCCTGATAGCCTTCGAAATGGGACCTTTTCGACAATATTCCTTACTATATTCTGTTATCCTCTATCGAAATACGGTTTCCCAACTTTATCAGACACCAGTCTCCCGTTATGACCCTGAAAGAAATCCAAGATGCAAAAGATCTGTGGCTGCGTAGTATTCGAGGCTGCAACATCCCGGGGATCAACGCATCGACTGTGCGGCAAGTCGGATCTATGGTCAAGGTGGGAGAAGCGAGCCCTCTGTTTTCTGAGAGAAGGCGCATCAGTCCCTTTCCCTGAAGTATTCAATGCTTACACGATCGCCGATTATGGCTTTTTCTATTATAGCTTTTTCTTAATGTCGAAAATCCCAGGCCATCTACTTCAACGATGATGGCGATCTTTAACTCCAGGATTTGATTCAATCAGAACAAGAGATAAACCTACCTGCTACTTCCCCGTAAGTCTAAACCTGCATACTCATCAAATTAGAGATAACACAGTGCCCGTTTTCAGAGAATTGTTTCGGCTTTGTTAAAGTTGTCAGCGGCACCCGTTATGAGAATACCCTTTCACTAATCTTGCGAGTCCCTGTCCCTTCATCGCTTGCGATTATTTACAATTACACGAAACTCCAAAAGTATTTCCTTCCGTGACACGAAGACGAATCTGGTCAATTGCTTCGCACTCCGGCGTGGGTTGCACAGATTAATGAGACTCAATGGAATTTCCGAAATAATGCGCCCGTGAGAAATCATGTATAGATCAAAGCTATGAATCCAAGAAAGCGGGAAGAACTGAAGAATATAAAAATCTCGATCTACCCGCTTGAAAAAGAGAGGACGTTTGACCCTGAGCCTCTTTTTCTTTGATGTGATGAATCACAGATGTGCTATGCGGAGCGAAAAACGGCTCTCTGTGCCGATTGGCTGTCTGGCTTTTATTTTGGGGTTGAAAATTATCAACGGTTGAAGTAAAGACTAGGGAATGACGAGTACGGAGTAGGTATTACTGAATCAGATGACCCCGAGGCTTCGGATTCTCAATTCGTGCGCTGTTTGAAAGGGGCTCAACGACGAGTGCCGAGGTTCCCGGCGAGGCAGAGTAATGGAAACAACCTTGGAATGCGAAGTCTCTGAAAAGAAAAAGCCCAGTTCTTACCCCCAGTGTTATGGGTAATCTGCAAGCAGATCAGTCCATTTCACATTTATGTCAGGGAGATGTCAAGTGCATGAAGCTCGACGCAATCACAAAAAGAATCCCCAGAGTATCTGATGTATATGTGCCGTGATTGATAAGTCTACTCACGATATGTGCATGCACACCCGTACATGGGATGGATACAAGGTAAATTAGCATGACCCAATTCTCGACCAAATTGCGCCATGCAGTGCAATTGGACCCTGAACCCGGAACCCCGGAATCCTGCAGGCCACTTGGATACACCACCACAGCCAATAAAAGCCATACCCATCGACTGCAATAAGCTCGCTAGCGGAGAGAGTGGCGCAGCTCATCTCGGCTGTACGAAGGACAGTGCATGATGGGGAAATAGGCTTCATGCAGTGAGACTGTGACCAGGTGATTGATTCCGGGTTGAGGCAGCCCGGATGTGTATGGAAACACAAACATCATGGATACCCATATACAGTACGGTCTGCACTTCGTATTCTGTAAATTAAGTTATGCCACCTACATTACTCCGTACCGTACTGAGTTAAGCTGCAATGGCTCACTTATTGCGATTATTTCGAAGAAATTAGGATACGATGGTGCAAGACTGATCTCGGAAGACCTAATTATAGGTAGCCAAGGCGTACGGGGTACAACTACTAATTATACGGGACCCTAGACCAAGCTACCCGGCCTAGTTCTGTAGGGCACACACAAACACCACGCTATAAGGCTGACGGGGCCGCCGAGCGGAGCCAATTTCAAGGGTTCAAGTTCCCTCGAAGGATCGAAGGGAGATAAAATAGAGCAAGGCTTGTTAGTTTGTTTTGTATTTTGCTTTTTGAACTCTTGGCTCTCCGCCTGGTGGCCTTAGACTGGCTACTCTGGACAGCGGATGGAGTCAGCTTGGGGAGGGACTAACTAGCGTAGCTCCATGCGGGTGTATATAATCCGTCGGAAAAGGGGTAATACTATATGTATCCGTACTCCGAGGTGCGACATCCCAAATTAGGGGTATTGAGATGCTAATTTCCCTTTCAATTGGAAGTTAAAATAGCTTGCGGTACTCCGTATGCTCCGAGACAATTCAGAGACAAAATTTGGATATTAGGAAGATAGTGTCGGGACAGAGGTTCGCCGGTGGATTCTGGAAGGCCACCAGATCGACAAGCGTAGCTAATTCGGTGCTCGGCCGGATCGCTCATCGTTGGGTCTAGGAATCGGGAATAACTCTTGGCTATCCAGATGAGGGACAGCTGAAACGAGGGACAGACTTTGACTTCATGGTGCTCTGGCCCTACTCCGCACTCCATCCATGACTAGGAGACCCTGAATGAAAGAATGGTGACGTTCCAACTGCAGCTAGACAACGTTCTCTGCCGTTGTTCTGCACGGCCCCTTCCACGCGGACGAGAGAGGAGAACAAAATTCCAGTTGACATCACATCACAGAACCCTGCGTGGTTGAGATCTCTGGGAGACCACCCATCTGTCTGTCCGTCGCCAAGATTGGCCCCTGGACGGACTCCACCGGGAAAGCAGCCGATTCTATTGGAATTCGACAGTCAAGCCTTCTGTCCGAGGTGGGGCCCGACCAAGTTCCAATACACAATTATCCAGGCAGAAGCAAACTCCCCGAGGAATCACTTTTCAAAATTGGGGGCCCTTCTTGGCTCTCCAATAAATTCCGCCCCGAGATGAAGGAATTAGGAAACAATACGGTTTACGGAGTACGAGAGGAATGTAAGCAAATGGCTCCGTAGATGTGCGTCGGCAAGATCCCGCCCTAACACAGCCTTCTGGAAAAAGGCCCCCGAAAAAGGAAAAAAAGCTGGGGCACACGTTGTGTACGAGAGGCGTAAGAACCAGTCAGGACATGTCCGGAGCTAGTAACAAAACACAACGATCTTTCAGGCTTAGCATGGATCAGGACCAGTCGTATGTACTGGAGTGGTAAGCGGTGGCGGACGTGGAGGAACGATTTTTTCACGAGATCCACTTTGAACAGGATCAGTACAGTGGGAGCCACAAGGGGCCAATAGGGGCCACTAGGGAGTATAAGGGGGCCAAAATGAAATCCCTGTTGCTCCTTTCTTGAGCCGCAGCTTCTGTTTCCAGTAGCTCGTCTCGTGTCCGAACGTTGGGAACGAGGCCGATTTTAGTACTCCTCTGGAAAGTGGACTCGAATATGAATAGTGCATGCCTTAACCGCGCTGGATCATACCGGACCGCGCTCATTAATCTCCCACTCGCCTGCTTTGCTCTCCACTCCTCTCAGTATGGAGCCTGCATAGTCTGGGTCTCATTGTTTCCAACAGAGAGACCGGCGTAGCGGTGAAAGAGATCGACTCAATTGACTTGGGGGCGAGAGTAGTTTCTTGGAAGAGGACAAAGAGTACTCCGTAGAGAGAGGCTATGTCGACCTATGTATAGCTCAGTGGAGAGAATGAGGAATAGGTTCAAGGCGTCCCAGATTTGCACCTATACAGCCGGTACAAGCATTACAGCCACGTTGTGCTTTGTAGCGGATTCTGCCAGCAGCCCGAGACTCCGTGCGAGCCTTGGTCTCCACTCGTCTCACTCGGTATGTACCAGTAACAGGAACAAGGCTTTTTGGATCAGACCCTGAGAGGTTTAGCACTGGCCCACTGGCCCCTCGAATGGGGAAAAAGCCCGCATGACCCTAGAGGCTAAGCAGCGCTGGATGAAACCCTGGCTGGGGCTCACGGTCCACAGGCAATTCCAGGTCCATACAGATGATTGTACAGAGAGTATGGTTCCGTACGGGTTCCTGGGTGGCAATGAGTGACCGAGGGTATTGGGTAAGGGTATTTGGAGTAAGTTGTGGTGGTGGTGAAGGTGGTGGTAAAGAGCAAAAGTGAAGGTGCGCTGGCTACTTTTCCCCATGTTCCACTTTCACTCCATTTCTATAATTATTTATTCCTGCCGTCTACGCCCCCCCCCCCGTCACTTTTCCCTCCTGAACTCTCTCGGTTTTGGATCTTTGCTTTCCTTGCATGATCTAATCAACTCAACTCCTTCCTCTCCCATGCTTCTCATGTCGCCGTGAAGCATCTAGGACCATGCAATTCAACAATACCCCGTGGAATGCCACGGGCACCACTCCGGGCTTCGCCGGTCAAGCCCTGGGCTGGATGCGTTTCTTCTGTTGCACAATGCCCGCGCGTGGCCTACAAGCTTCATTCACCTGGGAACTTTCTCGCAAGTTCTGGTATTCATTCCTCTTCGTCTCCATCTTCTTCGCAAAGCTCTTGCATATCTGGGCCCATATCGATTCCATCCCCGTTGGAACCCTGTTCCTTTGGGGTTCAACTTTTTTCGTGCAGGACATCATCTTCCTGTTTCTGGCACACCTCTTGTCGCGCAGCTATCAGCACAAATGGATTCGCATTGGTGCTGCTACGACCATGATTGTGGCTAGGTAAGTTTTTCCGTTGTTTCCCCTTGATCTTTTTGGTGGTCGCGTGCGCGTCCGCCCGATTGGGAAGCGAACCTCATTTCTAATCTGAGCTTAATTTCTTTTTAGTCTCGTCCTCTCCGTCATGGCCGCTGCCAATACCTCCTTCTACTTCACTACCGGAGCCGAAATCCACTGGCGCCAGGCTGGTGGTTTTAACCGCGATCCCGCCTCCATCAACACTTTGCTCACCGGTCTCACTGGTCTTGTCATCGTCGAGGCCCTCTATATCGTGGTGGCCGCACTTGCGACTCCGCACCTCTACAATGCGGTGGGTGGAGTGATGCACACGTGGAGCGAATTCTTTGTTTCGATCACCAAGCCCCTGGTCAAGCCTGTGTTCAGGCCTCTAATGGAGATGGTCTTCAGCCGATGGAGCAGAGGACGCAAGCTGTTTGAGGATTTGAAGATCTATGAGCCAGTTCCTCTGGGTGACTATGAAGATGACGAAGACAAGATGAACTCGGCTCCCCTGCTCGACCAGCCCACCCAGCCGCGATCCAATGAGGAGGACTTCAGCCTCGGACTCGGCCTCAAGCAGCGATGGATGAACAGGATGAACAGTGGTTTCGACGATCTTAAACAGGACTGGAGACCGATCGCCAAGCGTGCGCTGATCATTGTTCCAACTGCAATCATATTTATTCTCCGTCTCGCCCGTCCCTCTGAACAAGCGCTCTGGTTTATGTCCCAGACAGTCATTATTTCCCCCTTTGCCGGTGTCGATTCCAAGGGCAAGCTTCAGATGATCTCGGACGACCCTTATCTGCACGGCAAGCTGACGGCTTTGACTGCACCCCCTCGTTGGGATTGGTTCCCTGAGGGCAACTGGCCCGGATTCCGCGACTGGGAGAAAGGTGGATTCGATGGCAACAAGTACTCTCACTACAACGCTACCGAGGACCCTCTGACCATCTCCAACCTGGGCGAGGACATTCTGGTGCCTCTCCGGGACGCTCTCCACGGCGGCAAAGTGAACATCAAGCATATCTTCGTCTTCAAGATGGAGAGCACCCGCTACGACGTTTTCCCCCTCCGCAAGGGCTCCTATATGCATGAGCGTCTCGTCAAGTCACACAAGAACAAGCGAATTCCCAAAGATGTCCAGCGCCGCCTGGCAAACCTGACTTCGGTCGCTGAACGCCTGACTGGTGCCGAATCCGGATTCCACAAGAAGGGTGCTATCAAGCCTTATGGCGGTATTCGTGCGGACAACTCCTACACCGGTGGTACTTTCACTCTGAAGAGCATCGAAGCGACTACCTGCGGTCTTTCTCCTCTCGTCATCGATTTCAACAAGGAATACGAGCACCACATTTACAACCCCTGCATGCCTCAAGTCCTTGACGTTCTGAGTGCCAAAACCAACGACACCAAGAGCAGCGATTACAAGCTGTGGCCCTGGCGCCCAACCTTCATGCAGTCGATTACCGATACCTACGATCACCAGAATCTGTTGTCCCCCGCACTCGGTTTCAAGCCGGAAAACATCGTCACTGTCGAGTCTATTGATGAGGATATCGCGAACGGCAAGAATTTCAACTACACCAAGTTTAACTTCTGGGGTTACCCCGATGGATCCCTGAAGGGCTACTTCCGTGAAGCCATTGAGAGTGCCGAGGCCAATCACGAGCGTCTCTTCCTCACACACCTGACTGGTATCACTCACCACCCCTGGGATACTCCCGATGGAAAATACGACGATCTTTTCGGTTCCGAGTCCAACTCTTTTGGTGGAAAGAACGATCAACTCAACCGCTATCTGAACACTGTCGGTGTCAACGACAAGTGGTACGGAGACTTCCTGGATCTGCTGGAGGAGACCGGCGTTGCCAACGAGACACTCATTGTCATGACTGGTGACCATGGTCTCTCTCTCCCCGAGGATGGCAACGTTACTCCCTACGACAACCCTCTCGTTTCCAACTTCCACGTTCCTCTCATTTTTGCCAACCCTAACATCCCTCCCATCTCCATCAACTCCTCCGTGAGCTCTGTCCAGATCATGCCCACCATCCTTGATCTTCTCAAGACCTCCGGATCTCTTGACCACGTCAGCGCTCGCGCTGTTGGCGATCTGCTCCCCATGTACGAGGGACAGTCCATGATTCGTCCCATTATCGCCGAAAACAACAGCACCGCCTACTACCAATTCACCGTCATGAACACCGGTGGCTCCCTGGTCGCTATGCGCTCCGCCAATCGTCCATACCGCCTCGTCGTTCCCCTGGTAAATGAGGTCGAGTGGCGCTTCAGTGACCCTTCCACGGACCCGCAGGAACAGAACCCTATCAAGTCGTTCGATCTCGACGGCCTCATCAAAGCCGTTGAGGAGAAGCACGGTTCTGACGCTGTCAAGTGGACCCATGATGCTTCCCATGCCGCTCAGTGGTGGGTCGCTGACAACTGGCGCCGCTACGAATATGACCCCTCCCGGCCGAAGTCATCATCCAAATCAGGCTGGTCTGAGGGATACAAGGGCCCATGAGCAACCAACCGACCACAACCACCCTCCTCTCTCCGACACAGAACAACCACAACCATGAACATACACAGAAAAAAACAACTGCACAAACCCTTAATACCCAAAAAGAGAGAAGACCTCTCATCTCCTCCCGCATTTTGTATGATTATTGATTCTCAGACCTTTCTGGAGACTCTGATCTGAACAGCATGGCGCACGGCATATTTCACTTTTCACATTCACATATTGGGGGTTCTTTTCTTTTACTTTCTCATTATTTGTACATATCTTTTGCATACTTAGGGGTTCTGTTTTCGACTCTGTTGATAATGAGTACTACATTATGAAATATTTATCAAATCCGTCTTTTCCGCTTTTTATCAATTGTATCGTTCCTTGAGTGGGGAATTGGTGGCAAATCTAATACTGTAGTACCGTACATCCCTCGGTCGCAACACGGAGGCGAAGCGGTCCATGATCATCAATGCAGTGGCGAAGGGAAGCTTTGATCTCATCTGATCTGATCTGATCTGATCTGATCTGGACCTGAAGGCTGGGGCGATCATCCGTTCTAGTTCACCAGACGAACCCTGGCCAAGAGGATACTAACCAATTTGGTGCATACTAGTCCTCGTTTAGACTGTGGATCAAGTCTTGAGATTCCCGTCGCCTCCGCCTCCAACGGAGATCCTGTCCTCCGCATCATCTTCTTGTCGTGTTTGGCGATTGTGAGAGGGGTTTCCGCCGTGGCTCTGTGGCTCTGTTCATAAACATTTCTTTCAATTGTAACATGGAGTCGACAAAGCCATGGCTTCATAGGATTCGGTCTTCCGAATCTTTTGTTGTCGCGGTGGTGACGATTGCGATTTTCACGGTATGTCTGATTGGATCGCATTAGATATGATGGGTTTTTATTTGCGATCACTAATGTTGCCATGATGCTTTTAGGATGTTTTCATATATGGCATGGTGAGTTCAATCTCTATCAATCTCTATCACGATGATCTATTCTCCCCTCCTTTCTAACATATTGTGCCTCTCAAGATTGTACCTATCATCCCCGTTGCACTGGTTGAACGCGTCGGAACTCGAGAAGAAGATGGTATGATTGATTGATTTATCTTTGGCCTTTTTTTTTTCTCTTTTTCTTTTGATTAAATTGCCCCGCTAACTGCCATGAACAGCGCAATACTGGGTATCGGTTCTGCTAGCCGTCTACGGTGCAACCCTTCTTATTGGATCGCGTATGTATTTGCTTTTCTATATTCGCCATTTGTGTTCCAATTTTATACCTACTAGTGTATGGTTCTCGCTGAAAACAAACTTGAAGCTGACATTGCAACAGCGCTGTTTGGCTGGTTCGCCGATCACTCTCGATATCGAAAATTACCTTTCGTCATCGGTCTCGTTGCACTGGGTGCTTCGACTCTTCTCTTCGTCGTTGCCCGCTCTATGATTCTTCTTATACTTGCACGTGGTCTGCAGGGGTTCTCCGCCGCAGGTGTTTGGGTCGTTGGACTCGCCATCGTTGCGGATAATGTGACCCCGGAGCGGGTCGGAGAGGCAATGGGACAAACGACAATCGGTATGACGTGGGGATTTCTTCTCGGTCCCATGATTGGTGGAATCATGTATGAGAAGCTGGGATTTTATGGGACGTTTATGATTCCTGTGGCTCTTATTGTTATGGATGTGATCTTGCGATTTGCCATTATCGAGGTGCCGAGTGAGTGACATCGACCCGGATTAGAGAGAGATGAGACGCAGTGAGTGTGATCATGCTAATCTCATGTTAGAAATTGCTCCAGATTCAGAGCGCACTCGCAATTCGCAGGCTATTGACTCTCAGGCTGATGCGTACAATACGTTCACTTGCCACGGGTCTCAGTCTCCCCAGGCAAGGGATCCTGATATCGGGACTGAGGAAGATTGCCACGAGCAAACATCCTTATTGAGATCCTCGACACCTTGTGCTGGATCTTCAAGCTTGAGCAAACAAAAACCCGCCACTATATTCAGTCTTCTCAAGTCTCCTCGACTGCCCCTTGCATGCACGGCCACCATTGTGATGGCTGTTATGGTCGCAGCTTTAGAAACCGTTCGTTGACCCTCCCGCTCGCTCGCTGCCTTTATTGGAAGCTGGAAATAACGACTAACTCTACCACATAGACGATCCCGATATACGTTATGGAGACATTCGGCTGGTCCTCTGGCGGCGCAGGGCTAATCTTCGTCGCTTCCTCTATCCCCAGTTTCGCAGGCGTGCTTATTGGAAAGTTTATCGATCGCATCGGAGTCCGGATCCCCGCAGCTATAGCCTTCTCAGCTTCGGCCTGCGGCTGGATCCTGATGCGCTTCGTGAACAAGAACACAACCGCCGATATTATTCTGCTAACAGCCCTCCTATTCATTCTAGGCCTCGCGGTCGTCACGATAGAAGTAACCGCCATGACGGAAGCTTCTCAGGTGGTCGGAGACTATGAGAGTGAGAACCCTGGCGCGTTCGGAGAGAAAAGCCCGGTCGCCCAGACGTATGCGCTGTTTAATATGGCGTTTGCTGGGGGTCAGCTCCTTGGTCCGATATTGGCGGGTGGACTGCGGGTGCGTGCAGGTTGGGCTGCTATGACTCTCGTGTTGGGAGTACTGTGTGCCGTGACAGCCGTGCCTATTGGTCTGTTTAGTGGTGCCTTGCCTAAAAGGGTCGAGGTTGAGGCCGAAAGGGATGCCAGTGGGTAGTCACTATCCACATAGTGGTAGGAAATAGTTCTGCGAGTGAACGAACGTTGGAAAACAAAAAATTTCTGGGGCTTTCTAGAGATCGCGAACAATATAACATGGATGTGATTTAATATCCATTGATGGTGAGATTTCCGCTTCATTGGCCGTGTTCAATTTAGAGAAAAGAAGAGCTGAAAGGGGTTGTTCAAGAAGTTTGTTTAAAATTACATGCCATAGCACACAGCTAATACATCGGGCGGCATTAAATTAGTCGAATAATCTCATTGGCAAGACTGGTTTGACTCATGAAGATCTTTCAGCGAGAATACACCAATTGCCATTGCGATATCTTGCAAACGAGGCGGAGCCCCGCAACGCGACGCCACATCCCAGGTTGGGGCCTAGAATCCAGCAACTCTTAGCTGAGCTCATAAACCTTGGAATATCCTGACAGGTATCTTTAACATTTAAAGCTCAATCCTTGACTCAACACAAATAGACGATCGGCTTGAAAACGAAACCAAGAATGAGGCGCTGGCACAAAGACGGCTGTCAAAGTCCTGAGATCGTGCTGGTTGACTCCAATTCCACTCTGCACTGCAAAAGTTGCTCCGCACATTCATCCCTTGATGAGACGACAGACGCGGCTCAAAAAGATAATAATCGCTCCCCACCACCGAGAACAGAGAACCAGCCCTTGAAATGGCCTGCAAAGGCGCGCTATCTAGGAGAGTTCTCTTCAGCTGTTGAAGTCACGCAGCCTCCTCGGAAGATCTCTCGCGTCGGGTCAACAGCGACCCAAAATGAAGAAGTGGCAAGGCCAGAGACCCTTTTTGACGATGAAATTCGGCTCATAAGACTGATGCCGTGTGAGGATTCAAATGGGCCGGTTCATCTCATGTGGGAGAAAACACATCTCCGTGAACGGCCGGTTCAAACGTATGATGCTGTTTCTTATACCACTGCGGGGGGGACCATCTCGATGGAAACCAGTTTTCATAGGTGTTTTCTGGGACATTATTTACATTCACACAAATTGTGAAGCTGCCCTTCGACACATTAGATATCTTGATTTGACACAGTTGCTCTGGATTGATGAACTTTGTATTGATCTCGATGATGTTCTTGAGAGAAATCACCAAGTTGGCCTCTCGCGCGAGATTTATGTAAATGCAAAAGCTGTTCTGACCTTTTTAGGTGATTATTCACCTGAAACTAAGTTGATTTTGGAAAGTTTCAAAAAGGCAAAAGCGGGCGGTCTTGCTGAGATTTTCTTTACAGAATTTCGCGATGCCTGGAGATGCTTCTCTGACCTACCAATATTCTCACGCGTGTGGATTTTGCAGGAAATGCTGGTCAGCCGACATCTTGTGCTCATTTCGGGAGATTCCGTTATCCCTTGGCCCAAAAGAACAAAGATCACGGTCGTGCCTAAGCCAATCAACAATTCGATTGTACACCGGATGATTGAAAACGAAAGCTTGAATGAGGAATTTCTGGATATCCTTCTCGCTGCTTCTCAGTACGAGTGCTCGGATGCGCGAGATAAAGTTTTCGGCGTCCTAGGTCTTGTGGACGAAGCTATCAGACCTGACTATTCACTATCCGTTGAAGATGTTTACACGGGCGTCGCTGCATATCTGGCCACCTATCTCAGAGATATGAGAATCCTGAATTTTGCAGGATCAGCTCGGTCAAATCTCGACATCCCATCTTGGGTCCCAGACTGGACTCAGAAGCAAGCTCTCCAGTTCCCCAGTCACGAGCATGCTAGCACTGATCCCGGCATGGATGGGATGGTAACGTTTTCATTTCATGGCATGGTACCGAACAACATAGAGATCCTCGTTGACCCCAAGTCAAGAGCCTTGCAATGCTCTGGAATCAGATTATGTTCTCACAATGGACGCTGGCAATTATCCTCCATACTGGCGGAAAGAGGTCACCGTCGAGCCGTCTTTCCAAGAGACAATCAAGGGAACGTTGTGACTAACTACCATAGTACACGCGAATTGTTCGGCTTTACGACGACACCAAGGCCCTTATTCCAAGAGGGTGTTTCTGTCTTCTTGCTGCAGGGAATGGAGCATCCTGTTCTTCTACGCTACTTGCCCGAAAAAGAGGCGTATTCTTTACTGAGCACCTGTGTGGTCTCATTTCGACAACCAAGATCTCAAGCGGAGTATTTCCCATGGGAAGTGGATTCTTCGGATTCTTCAACTCAGCCTTTCTCTAACTTGCTCAATGTCTATCGAATTACTACTGAGGATATGGATCGAATTGTCGAATTTGACTCTCGTGTACTTGACGTGATCTGGCGACGCCAAAACATAACCCCCGACCCCGACCACCGCACATTCTTCCACTCGATGACCAGGTTCATGGATCTCGTGGAAATATTTTTCCTGGAGATTCATAGAATCGAAAAGACCCTGAGGGACTGTTGGAAAGACTACGAGAGCAGGCTCGGTTTGATGTTCCAGGACCCTGGAAAAGTGTGGTCCTTTGTTGAGCATCTTGGAGAGCAAGACGACGAAATACGCGGCACGGAGAAAATGCCCCGAGCAGATAAATTGAATACGGCATGGAAAGATTTCCCTAAAGGGAAATTACCGTACGAATATACATGGGATCTGGAACGGTTCTGCCTGTCATTTGTTTCGGGGTCCTCGGCACCTCCACCTCCTGTGGATTCGCTTGAAGATGACGATGTCGAGCCTGAGGATTTAATTTCTAACATGGGTGATATAAGAGCGTGGGCAGAGACAACTGAGAAGCTACTGAGAATAATGTCATTTACGGAGAAGCACATGAGCTCGAGTTGGCCATCGTTTCCAGGAAACGACATGGCACGAACGTGGCTCGCGCCATTTGAGACCGGTGTTTGGAAATGGGAGAAATTCAGAGCTTCACTTGTGGCTAGGGAGAGTATTTGGGAAATTTTGATACCTGAAGAACTGGATCCGAGGGTCAATCATAATATCAAGATGCGCTTCATCATGAATCAGCTGGGTCTGGTCGAGGAGGAAATGCAAGTAACGATTATATAGTAATGTCGTGCCGTGAGGTTCAATCAGACGATATCCTATACCATCATGATCATGATGAGTGTCACGGTAGCTTCAAGTTCAGGATGCTCATTCAGAGCTTACCAGATCTATGCATGAATAAATCGATTAACCTTGGAACTCAACCTTGGAAGTTCCAAGTTATTTGCGTCTATTGTCTATTCCCACCGGGTATTCATCCTAAGTCTTCATAAATATCCACGGATGTGTTCCCTGTACCCCATGATGGGTTGGCCTTCCCCGCATTACGTCACCGGCATAATCAAGTTGATCCACCAGTCCTTCAAATTCATATTCATGTTCACTTTCATCTTGATTTTTTTATCTTTAACTTCTACATCCTCCCATTAGCACTTGATGACACCCAGAACAATCTACCTCATTTCGTCTCGCAATGCAGAGTTTCAACGGGCGCACTTTGCGATCTTTGTTCCTGCCGCCACAGAGCCAGTCCAAGGCACGTTGATCGAAGCTGTCGGTGCACCGATGACCGGTTACATCCTTGAATTCAAACGAAATTACTCTCCTACAAATGACACACAGGAGGATTATTCCCTGACACAGCTCGGGGAAGTCGATGCCGAAAATATCGTCGATGCGACCACTAGTATCAAAAGTACCGACTACGAGCCGAGAGGGAATATCGAGGTTGCCGCCTCACAGGTAGCTCCTCCCGGGATTAGTGAGAACTTTTTGGCCCCAGTGAATGATGTAAGTCCGTCAGATTAAGTATATGTGTTATACTCGAAGCTCCGCTAATAGGAATGTCTATTCCCAGCGCAATAACAAGCGGTGTCAAGAATGGACAATGGAGTATATTCGCCATCTCGTTGCAAAAAGATTGATAACATCGGACGCTATCCATACCGTCCAATCCAAGCGTGATCCACCGAGCCATGGCGTCGGGATACAGTCTACGTTGCGGCGTTCAAGCTAAAAAGAGAATGAACATCGAGGGCCGTGCTATGATGATGATACATATATACATGCAGGAACACATCTGGAACCCAGGAGGGATCGGACCAATTGCTATGGAATAGTCTGCATGAAGCAGACCCAGCAGAGTCAATTATTAGACTGCCAATCGACGTCAGATCCCGATTGCATGCCGTCAGTTCTTGAAGTTACCAACGAACGACATGCATTTAAATGTAGCAACTCACGTTTCGTAATTTGCTGGCCTTTCCTAGGGTGACAACGGCCTTCATTTCTGCTGGGCGGCTCACTTTTTTCAAACTCTTGGATTTCGGGACAAATATCCTAGAGATACTCATTGGACCCAAAATGCGACCGTGGGAGGAGGACGGAACCTCCAACTCCGAATAGCCCTCAGCTCATTCAATGTTACTTCCAGGTTATAGCTATGTACTGGCCAACAAAGCTCTCTAGATAATAGAAATTGGAAATACACTCCGCCTCTGACTAGTAGAAACACAAGGTAATTGTTCTGAATGAGACTGGGTCTAAACATTGTGAAGAATGCTACATTCTCCACGGTGGAAGACCATCGGTAGATTGTAGCCACTCATGATGAAAATAGACAAGACTGCCCCAGTTACTAAAAACAGGACGCACCCAGGAAAAACTTGATTTCCACACCGTTGGCCCTAGTGCCAAACCTTGATTTGGCGCGCTGTCGGGGATTTCCTAGTGGGCCGATCGAATGTCCACGCGGGAAAACGGCCGCTGATCAAATGTCATGTGGATATCATGGTCGAGTCGCACCGAAAAAATGATTGGAATATCGCAATGCTATCCTGCAATTCAACCTGGGATCCATGGGGATGTATGGTAAAACGTGCAAGAGCCTTAATGCTCGCTCTGCCTTGATATTTGCCCCATGATATCAGTTGTTTCCTCGGATGACTCGTGTGGCTGACGGCTCCACTCAAATAGATTAAAAATGATGAATCGCCCGATCGAGCATGATCTCATTCGGCCGGTATTCCGGTGGCTTTCGCTGCGCTCGACCCTCTTTGCCTCCACTCACGTCGGGGCCGACAGGGGGGGGGGCCTGGTCCATGCAATCTGGCGCGCCATACATTGGCCAGCTGATTTCGGGGTTTATATCAATGTAGCAGTACAACTCCAACTGGCTTCCTGGTAGCGTCATAGCTGCGACGACAAACAGGAATATTTCGTAATCCAGAGCAAGCGTTGTTTCATCCTATGTTAAGGAGAAGACATCCCATGGAAATGGAAGCAAAAAGCTGGCGGGGACAGTTGCACTGTCAGACCTCTGGGGTATCAAGTAACACCTGATGTAATGGGCTTTTCAATTAATGTCGATAACTCGATGGCTGGATTTTGACACTCAATGTCGGGACTTGCATTAGCCCAAACCGTTATGGTCATGAGCCCCCGTACAGAATACCTTGACAGGGACTGACAGCGGTAAAAACCGAGGAGGCGAATTTGACTGGAGCAAGGACCCCTGGATTTAGCCAATCTGACAAGCTGATTTGCCCGCCCACGTTTTATCCAAAGGCCGCTTCCGTGGATCGCAACCTGTCGATAACCAGCTATTCAACAATGGGGAGATTTTTCCGTCTGCCATGTTCTGCCATAGTATGATACATCACAGCTTGCTCGAGTCCACTTGCAAAGCCTACCGGTTAGCAAAAGTCTGGCGATATTCACACTTGCGAGAAATTATCTGGACCAACTTGTTGATTTTGTATGAGGAGGAGAAGCACTTGAAGTTACAGCATGGTAACGCTTGTATGTACTTATGATTCTATTCACCTGGCTTAAATGATAAAGACAAACTATTGCACATGGTTTAAAGCAGTATTACCTGGGGGTCACTCCGCGTCATGTTATAATCTATACGGCCACGTTGTGCTCCACCTTCACCCATCATTTCATGCCCCAATCTAGCCACACCTCCACCACGAGCTCTGATTGGCAAGCCCCCCCTGCTACAATCAAGGATCGTCAGTCTCTAGGCGCGTCTCGATTCATCAAATTAGCTGACAAGCCCCGCTCTTATGATGCCAGTGCTGATACTAACAGTCGCCCTGTGGCTCTGTGGCCCCCCCATCCCGCATGTCTGCACCGTGCACCCAAACTCTTTGGGTCGGTCGACGACGAACGCAGCAAGGATTAGAATATTGACGACTGAGAGAGCAGCGATGATATCAACAATAATGACGTAGTGGGCACTGTCAACTTCGTGCCTGGCACAAAGGAACTTATATAGATTGCCAGGCTGAACGTTCCTGGACCTTGATACTTGATAGTCTACCTTTTCATTTAAATACTCTACATTCCACAAGAATCCTGTGATTCTTAATTTCAAAAAGCTGTATTTTTTCTACTATTATTGAGCCTTACTTTTTGGTTTCACGATTGTACATTATACAAACCTCCCCTGCAAAGTTTCACGACGTCACTACCTCTTTTCGAAAACCTCCATTTGTTGAATCAAACAGTTCTATATCGACTCCTGATACTATCACTTTTATCAAATCCTACTTGAACCAAAAGAGCGTCGCTGTCACCAACCTCTCTCAAATTCCTTCCGTCCAATACCGAGTTTCACACAATGTCGTCCCCCGCCGTTGGCAAAGCACCACCCAAGCTGGGATCCAAGGCTGGAACTCCTCTCAAGACTCGCAAGGGTTCCGGATCCAGCGCTGCCTCAAAGCCAAGTGTCTCTGAAAGCCCCAAGCAATTGAAGAAAACACCTACCCGCAAGCTCACACCCAAGGCGCCCAAGCCTATCGAAGACAACTTTGACGAGCAATCCCTTCCCGCAACCCCATCGCCCAAGTCGAAGAAGAAGTCTCTATCCTCAGAGCAACGTCTCCCCGTCTCCCCTCCAGATGATGCCGCCTCTCAGGCTTCCGGCTCGGCAGCCCCGCTTGGCGGCATCGCAGGCAAAGCCAAGGGTCTTGCTGGCAAGGCCAAGGATACCGCGCAACAAGGTGTATCGAAGGCTACGGACAGCCTGCCTAGCATTCCCCTCGACCTATCCGCATTGAAGGGTCTCGTTGTCTCTGATGGAGGAAAGATTCTCGGCCAGGATGGGAACCCCCTGGGCGAGGTTGTCGAGGGAGAGCCTGACGACCTTGTCGGCCAGACTGTCGGCGAGGACGGAGAAATCATTGACGAAGAAGGTGACCTCATTGGTCGCGTCGATGTTCTCGAAGGCGCAGTTGATCAAGCCAAGGACCTTCCCAATGGAGCCGAGTCTAAGCTTGACATTGCGAAGGACGTGGTCACCGATCTGTCTCAGCTTGAGGGTCTGCCCGTTTCTGACGGTGGCGTGATCAGGAATGCTGCCGGTCAAGTCGTTGGCAAGATCACCGAGGGTGATCCTGAAGATCTCATTGGCTTCACACTCAATGATGACGGTGAAGTTGTCGATGATGAAGGCGATGCCATCGGTCGCGTCGAGCTCATCCCTATCGAGGAGCAGAAGAAGGCTATCGAAGAAGTCGCCGGCGATGCCACATCTCAAATTGATGGCGCAAAGGATGATCTTGAGGATGATTTTGAAGACGCCCAAGATGGCCTGGATGCCGATGATGCCACAGGTGCTGTCGACGATGTTGCTAGCGAAGCTGAGGGTGCCGTTGATGGCATTCAGGATGAAGCGGATGATGCTGTTCCAGATACCGAAGAGGCTCAGGATGTCGCCGATGACCAACTCAACAGTGTCAAGGATACAGCAGAAGACGCTGCCGAGCAAGCCGAAGACGCAGTTCCTGATGTTGATGAATACGCTCTTCCGGATGCCGATGAGGCCAAGGAGACTGCAGAGGGTGCGCTTGACGACGCCCAAGAAACCGCCGAGGATGCCGTCGACGATGCCAAGGAGACCGCGGAAGATGCCGCCGAGGACGCCAATCTGCGCATCCCTGATCTCGATACTCTGGAAGGTCTGACCTGCAACAAGCGTGGTTATGTCATCGATAAGGCCACTGGCAAGCCCGTCGGTGAGCTTGTCGAAGGCGACCCCAAGAAGATCTCACGCCTCGGCGCTGTCCTCGATGAACAAGGTCAATTCTGGGACAACCGTGGCAATGTCATTGGTAAAGTCAAGGCTCTTCCAGTCGAAGATGGCAATGACGAGGAAGGTCCTTTCGCTGGTCTTGAGGGCCTTGTCGTCGGCCAAGATGGTTGGATCGAAGATGAAAATGAGACTCGCGTCGGCAGACTCGTCGAAGGCGACCCTAAGAAGCTTCTGGGTCGCGGAGTCGACGAGGATGGTGAAGTTCTCGATCGCCACGGCAGTGTCATCGGTCGCGCTGAGCGCTATGACGAGCCTGAGCCCGAGGAGGAAGCTGTCCCCGATATCTCTGTCCTGAACGGTATGCACTGCAACAAGGCTGGATATGTCATCGGCTCCGAAGGTTTCCCCATTGCTCGTGTGGTTGAAGGAAACCCCAAAGAGCTTGTTGGCAAGAAAATCCACGACGGCGAAATCTACGATGGCAAGAACGTCGTCGGTCGCGTTGAGCTGATTCCCGAGGAGGAGCTTGAGAGCAAGCCCGAGGGCCCATTCGCCGGCATGGAGAGCCTCGTCGTCCGCAAGGATGGTTTCGTCGAAGATGAGGATGGAACTATCGTTGGTCAGCTCGTTGAAGGCGACCCGAAGAAACTGCGTGGTCGTGCTGTTGACGAGGATGGCGAGATCACCGACAAATATGGCAACGTCAAGGGTCGTGCTGAGCCATATGAGCCTGAAGAAGAGGAGGAACCCGAAGAAGCAGATCTGTCTATCCTCGAAGGCAAAGTTGTTAACAAAAGCGGCAACGTTGTTGACCCCGCCACTGGTGCTGTCTTCGGACGCATCGTCGAAGGTGACAAGCGTCTTGCCGGTCGCAAGGTTGATGGCAAGGGACAAATCTGGGGTGACAACGGTCAAGTTGTTGGTCGTGCAGAGCTCATCCCCGGAGCCGAGCAGCACAAGGCCGAGGGTCCATTCTTCGGATTTGATAACGCTCAGGTCGCGAAGGATGGCGTTGTCATGGACGGGGACCGTATTATCGGACGTCTTGTTGAAGGAGATGCGAAACGCCTCCTAGGCCGTAAGGTCGATGAAGACGGCGATGTTCTCGACAAGAACGGAAACTCCATTGGCAGGGCTGAGCGTTGGGAGCCGGAAGAGAAGCAGCGCGACGTCAACCCCATGGCTGGTCGCAAGGTCACCAAAGAGGGCGAGGTTCGCGATGCTGATGGCAACCTCATTGGCAAGCTAACTAGTGGAAATCTGGCCACTCTTGTTGGAAAGAAGATTGACGACAATGGATTTGTTGTTGACAACGATGGCAACAAACTGGGTGAATGCACTCTGTTGGAGCACATCCCCGAGCCTGAGCCAGAGGAAGAGGTGGAAGAGGAGGGTCCAAGTGCTGAAGAGCTCGAAGCACAAGCCAAGGCTGAGCAAGATCGTCAGCTCGCCGAGAAGATGTGTAACATCCTGCGTCAAACCCTCGACCAAGTGAAGCCAGTCTGCAAGCAGATCTCTGAGGTACGTATAAAACACACTTGCCCTTTTATGACTGCAGACAACTAACACATTCTTTCTATAGCAACTTGAGAAGGCCGACCGAACCCCCAAGGACGAGCTCGACGAAGAGAAGCTCGTCCAAGCTGTCAAGCCTCTTATTGAGCAAGCTGGTCATATCCTTCAAGAATGCAATGGTGCAATCCGGGCCCTTGACCCCGATGGACGTATCGCTGCAACTGCGAAGGCTCGTGCCTCTTCTCGCGATGCTACTCCTGAGGAATACCAGCTCGCCGATATGCTCAAGGAGTTGACCGAAACCGTTGTCAAGACCATCGACAACGGCAAGAAGCGCATTGCTGACATGCCCCATGCCAAGAAGAAGTTGAACCCTCTCTGGGCTCTGCTCTCTGAACCTTTGTTCCAAATCATTGCTGCTGTTGGTCTTCTTCTGAGTGGTGTTCTTGGTCTTGTAGGCAAGCTTCTGGATGGTCTTGGTCTCGGTGGTCTCCTGAACGGCCTCCTTGGTGGACTTGGATTGGACAAGCTAATCAACGGCCTTGGTCTGGGAAGTCTGACAGATGCACTTGGTCTTGGTGGAAACAAGAAATGATTTTGAATATTTGTTTGACTGGTTCAAGCGGCTCGGGTTTTTAAATTTCTTTTCTTTTCCTTTCTTTTCTTTTCTCTTTTTTTCCCTTTTTTTTTTCAGCCGTTGTTGCTGGTTTCGAATTGTTTTGCTTTGAATTATTTTTATTTCCAAAGGTTTTGATTTGTGAATTCTTAACGTGTTTGTGAATCGTTGCGCGGCTGTTTGAAAAATTTCGACTTTTTATTCCTCTGTCATTGCGGCTTTTGGGTCTCATATAGGAGATTGTTAATGGAATCGACGCATTTAAGCAGACTATCTTATCTCCTAAAGTTGATCGGCATCGCCACATGCCACTATAATCACTGTAAACTGGTTTTGAGCACGACATGGGTGAGGGAAAAGTCCACGTGAGGTTTTTCCCGAAACAATTAACATCAAACTCAAAGAGACAGTCCTTTAGAGTCACCACCACAGAAAAAAAAAAACATGGAATAGATTAACAGATGTCTTTCCTCATGAAGATGGTCTTGGTATTCCACTTCTTCCCATTTTTGTCCCTCACGTCGTAATAGTTTTGCACTATTCCAATCGGCTGATATCCTCGCCGAGAATACCAATCTTGATTGGTGACCTAGGAGTGTAAGCACAATGCACTGTTTAGTTTCAGGAAAGGAAAATCAGTACGACAAACCTTTGGAATATTCCCGTACGTAGCTTTTGCAAAATGCTCTCGCAATTGATCCCCTTTCTCAACAGTGTCCAACATCAAGGTCTTGGCTGAAAGCGGTTCGTCCAAAGCCATAGCCTCCACTTCATCCATCGCAGCACGGCCTATACCCTTGCTTTGCCAATGATGTTGTACAAAGAATGTTTTGATCCAGTAGACAGAATCGGAGGGAATTTCAAGCCCTGAATTGGTTGCTTCTGGGTTCTTGGAGTCAAGAGAAATATGGCCGATTGGGATGAATGATTGATGAGACGGGTTGCGGGAAACGGCATTAAGTGATACAGCTGTATCCTGTAGCTGTTCAGTTATCTGGAGCATATTAACTTAATTCATCAAATCTATTTGTTGGCGTTGGCGCCATGCTTATGTGTACCTCTGGCACGGGGAATGGCTCTTCGTCTTTGCATGTTTGTGAGTGGTCGGAATGGAGTACCTTTTCAGCCACGCGTTAGCTAGAGGATGCCAAGGTAGATTCATTATTGCCTCTCTCACTCACAATCCAATACAAGCACTTTTCGCCTTTTATTTGCTGCTCTCTCCATTTGGTTTCAACATTTTCCTCATCCCAAGTGCATTCGACTCGTTGTTTGTAAAGCCAATGTCGGTGAGCGGATGATTCCGGATCCCAGGGAAAGAGTGTGACCTTTGATTTTGTACTCATCGCGTCCAAAACTGTGATTTCACTCGTTTACTGCGATAATGGGAAGAAGGGGGGTTATTTCGAATTCAAAGTTCGCGGCGGGCGAGGCGTTGATTTCTAATATGAGTCAAAGCGGAATGCCTTACATAACAAGGGAAAGATCATTTACGCCCTTCGGATGACATGTAAGACTAATTACAAAATGCGATGTCGCTAGCCTTAGGATGGTAATATCCTCGATCGGCATACTCTTCAAAGTTCCAATAATCGCCTGTTACGCCTTCTCCTCCAACTGTAGTGTTCCCAGTGAATTTCCAGGTCCAGTATGACGAGCCATGGGCAAATTTATGATAAGCAGCCAGTGCCACGTTGAGATTACGCTCACGCAGAGCGAAGCTGTTGTTGTATAGAGTTTGGATTGCCCATTCTCCCACGAACACTGGGAATTTTCCGTCGCCGGGGATTAATTTCGCGTCTGAGCAGATGTAGGATGGTAGGTTGCTTGAGGTGGTGTTGCGACCTTCGAAGAAATAGTCATGCTTGTCGAACACGAGATTATCATCTTTGGAAAAATTGGCAGACCAATAATCTTCAGTTTTGAAACTTCCCTGGAACATGACTGGGATGTTGCGGTTGACGGAGGCGACGCGACTAATGACTGCTTTGATGAATTTCACGACATACGCTGCACCCGTATCAGATAGAGCAGCTGGGGTACCGAACACTGACAAGTCGCGATTGTCGGCGGGCTCATTCATGGGCTCGTATGTAAAATGCTCTGGGTGGCCGGACTCCTGGATGAAGGATAACACAGCGTCAACCACCTTCATGGAGTAATCAAAGTTGGTTTCGTTGTAGAACCATCCCCAATGACCGCTGGCCTCGCCGATTGTCAACCCATTTATACCCCCGGGTAAGCCGTGAACATCAAGGATGATGTGCATTCCATGCTTCTTGATCGCGTGTGCCGTGATTTCCTTGAGATATGTCGTTTGCTTGCCGGAATAGAGATGAGAACCCGGGTAATGAATCCAAGCAGCGTACGTGGTGGGGATACGTAGAACTGTCAACCCAGTTGCAGCAATCTTATCGATATCAGACGTGGTAATCCATGTGGCATAACGCTCCTCTAACACAGGTCCGCAGCGAGAACCAAGATTTTTGCATAGGCCCCATTCATCATCTGCTCCTCCCGAATAGGTGGCCCACCAAGTGGTGTCAATTGTCGATTCTTGAACTAGCCAGCCTCCGAGATTGACTCCATTGCCCTTGAAATTCCTCCAATCAACATATTTGGATTTTTGGGCAGGATGTCCTGGAGCACTTAATACGCCCGGGGCGCAAAGCAAAGCGATTAATGGAACAGAGCTCCAGAGCATATTGTTGATAGAATGTGAAATGGGTCAAGTTGGTGCGAAAATCTTTCCCCAGTGAAAAGACGTTTCTTATAACCTTGGAAATCATGTCCGGATAAACCTTGGAAATCGGGTTTTCCAAGTCGACCCATAATTAAAGTCAATCTACTTTACCTCGCTTAGAAATGATTGGCATCAGGTTGATCTTTACCGATATCGAATCTTGTCTATGCCGTGTGGTATAACTTGGTTTCTGGAATAGTGCCTTCCTGCAGTGACAAGCAAGTATCGTTCGCAGGTTTTATTTCTAAATTCTTCCCCTGGTCTACAACTACCAATGCTGAAACATACTGAATTCCATTCAGAGCTACACGATGCATTACCCCGGAAGATCCGACGTGACCCCTGTAAACGTGGGGAAAGTAAAATTTGCGGGGAACTGACAGACTGAAGAAATTAATTAAGTCCGGCAAATATTCGGCAAATCCAAGTCGTAGAAATTGCCGGTTGAAGCCGGTGATCTAGCAACCCCTGCATCTAAAGACATGTTAGGCCTGGTGGAACCAATCAGCTCGTCGCGGCTAGAAATCTCCACATTCTCGGGGTGACAGCCCCCGAATAGGCCCACTGCCCAGCTTGTCTCGGGATTGCCGAACGCCGAGTCGTCGCTGCCCGTTGGCAATTTGAGGACCGCGATTCCTGACGGTCGCAGGCTTCTCGAATCTGTAATCCTTGCCGAGGTCTATTCGCTCACTAAGACAAAAAAAAGGGCAAATTCACCATCATGTCCATGTCCTCCCCCGCGCTGGTCTTTTCCCGCTGCGGGATACATGGATTCCACGAGGTGCTTGGTATAGATGCCGACGAGCTTCGCTTTTACTGGGCCATCGCCAGCACCGAGAAAGGGACCACCCAAGCTGCCTACCGGATTGTTCTCACTACGGACCCGAAGGCCCTTGAATCCACTGACCAAAGCGCATCCGGTCTTGATTGGGACTCTGGGCGCGTTCAGAGCAACGAACAACGAAACATCCTCTGCAAATTGGACGATGGCTTCAAGTCGACATGCAGCTATTATTGGAGAGTCACGGTATGGGACGGCAGCGATCGCGTCTATCAAAGTCCGATCCAGCACTTTTTCACGGGCTATCCTCGATCGCGTCTCTTGCCGCCGTACTCTATGAATCAGAAATACATGCCGCATTCAAGCCTTATTTTCCGCACTTGGTTTGAGAATGAAGCCAACAGATGGAAAGCTGTTTGGATTGGCGATGGAGGCGACAAGCCCATTTATCTCAGAAAGGCATTCCAGTTGCCTAGACAGCCAACCCGGGCTATTCTGTTCGCTTCCGGATTGGGCCACTTCAATATGAGTTTGAACGGACAACCAGCTTCTGATCATCGACTTGATCCGGGTTGGACTGGTTACCATCAACGTGTCCAATTCACTTCTTATGATGTCACTACTCATCTAAGTGCCGGAGAAAATGTTATGGGCGCTCATGTTGGCAATGGGTTTTATGCAGGTGACAAGGGAGGCGATGATCGATTCTTCTGGCCCATGTACGAGGACAACACATATGTCAGATATGGAAACGAGCTTTGCTTCTTTTGCGAGTTGCATCTTTTCTATGATGATGGTTCCCATGAAACTCTCATCTCGGACCCTACGTGGTCCGTCCGGAAGAGTGCCACCACGTTGGCCAACATATATGCATCGGAAACCCACGACCGGAGACTTTACCCTAACAACTGGGACACAGTTGAGTTCTCTGGCGAAGGGTGGAATTCTGCCAAGCCCTTGACTGGTCCTCGTGGTCATATTTATTACCAGACGCAGCCTCCGGTTGTGCTACATGAGACTTTCAACCCAGTGAAAAGATACAGTCCTCGCAAAGGTGTGGTTTGCTTTGATCTTGGTCAAAATGCCTCGACTATGGTACAAATTATTGCTGAAGGCTCTGCCGGATCGGAAATTATCGTGCGGTATTCCGAGACTGTCAAAGAAGACGGCACCGTTCTGATGCCAGATCCACTTTTCAAGGAGTTCGAGACAGGGGTTTTCTCCAAGATCTATCTTGCCGGTACAGGAAAGCCTGAAATGTGGGAGCCAGACTTCAGCTTCACTAGTGCTCGATACATTCAAGTGGAAGGCGTGGGGCTTGATGGAGAAGATGGTCTTCCTGTCATTCACTCTGCCATCGGTCGCCATATCTCATCCGCTGCTCGGAGACTCGGCACTATGAAAACAGATAAAGAAGATGTGAACGACTTGCTCAACGCTCTCTACTGGACATTCAACAGCAACCTGTTTAGTTATCACACCGACTGTCCGCAAATTGAGAAGTTTGGTTGGCTGGAGGTGACACATTTGCTTGCACCTGCTACGCAGTATATTCGAGACATGGAATCCTTATATACCAAGATTCTGGATGATATTGTGGATGCGCAGGAGTCCAGTGGACTCGTTCCGACAATGGCACCAGAGATTCGATACATGTGTGGCCCACTCCATGACACTATTACCTGGGGCTGTGCCGTTTGTCTCTTGCCGGACATACTGCTGCGATACTATGGTTCCACGCATGTCATTCCCAAGGTATACCCTGCCGCGGTGCGTTATATGGAATACATGCGCACGAAAGAACGAAAGGGCGGTCTGATCGAACATGGTTTGGGAGACTGGGGTCGAGATATTGCCTTTGGCAACCACCAAGCCAACATCGAGACAGCCATCTACTACAAATGCCTTCAATGCGTTGAGATGATGGCCCGCGAGCTTGGAAAATTGGAGGATGCCACAAAATACAAAGAATGGTCTTCTCGTATCTACGAGGCTTATAACCGTCACCTTCTCGTCAAGGATGATCCTTCGCATCCGCAAGTGTATTATACATCTTTGGATGACTTCCCCCGTCGTGATCACACAGCAATTGCGCAGGCTATGGCCCTTCAGTTCGGTCTATGTCCTCCGGAATACAAGAACGATGTTATGGCCACATTTATTGATGAGACATCGGATGGACGGATTCGAGCCGGCGAGATTGGTCTTCGCTTTCTCTTCAATACTCTTGCCGATGCTAAACGCCCTGATCTGGTATTGAAGATGGCCCGACAAGAGGAACATCCTTCCTACATGCGGTTCCTACGTCGCGGCGAAACTACTCTATTGGAATTCTGGCAGGATGAATGCCGTAGCAAGTGTCACGACATGCTTGGTACGATTTATGAGTGGTTTTACGCTGCTGTTCTTGGCTTGAAGCCGATTAACAATGCCTATCGGACTTTCGAAGTTGACCCCCCTTATGAGGCTGAATTTTCCCATGTTCAGGGATCCGTCAACTCGCCTTATGGGCTGATCAAGATAGATTTCGAACGCAGTGCAGCTGGAGACGTGTATCTTGATCTGAGCGTCCCATTTGGAACATCTGCAGTGGTCAAAATTCCTTCATCGAAGCAAGCCGAGGTCAGACGTGAAGATGAACCGATGGAAATTTGGAATAGTGGCGATGTAAAGCTCGAGCATGGATCTTACAAAATTGCTGTGCGGCCTTGATAGTATTGTCTATCGATCTTTGATTTTTACATAGAAGTTAGTATGTTACCACAAATGCCACGTGCCAAAGGGTAGTTCTCCCAATAATTCCCCAAACAATCAACCCGTATGAAGTAAGCTCCCGTCGGCTATTACTATTATTTGCCACAAGGTAGAAACCAGGAAAATGGTGCATGCATGCGCTATCTGAAAGAGAGAGAGACTCGGAGAGATTGTGTGTGAGAGGCTCGGAACTTGAAGGCGATAGTTACCTAGGTATGTCACTGCCTGTGGTGGTGCCTGAGGCCTACAACTCAACAGTATCTGTGTCCAGGCAACCTCGGAATTGCCCCCATACTATTATGCCTGTAGGTGCGGGGATTTTCCATTGGAATACTATGACAGGTAGAATAGCTCTATCGTCTTCAATTCCTATTTCGCATCTATTAAATCGGGTTCTGGACGGGGATGTCGGTCATGTCCCAGAGAATTGCGCCAGAAACCGAACCGAAGGGTCGGCATACAACTTCCCGAAATGTTTAAGTGTCGGAAAATCCGACCAGCACCTGATGTATTACGAGTTTGTGGGAGGAGAAGACAGGGTTCTCATTGGTAGAAAACCTGTGGCTTGCCCTCGTCTATTTTTCTAACCCCACGGGGTTCGGTCCCCAGCTACCCATCAATACTAGCTTACCGCCACTGCGCGTTGAATTCGGGTCTCTTTAAGCCGAACCCTTCATGGGATGCTTTCCCAATCGCAACTAGCATGATTATAGTTTCGATTTTCGGCATCCCAGTATCCTCTTACCGGCTGTTAACTGGGGCAGGGATTTCGCTCTCCCGATTATTCCCTGTCTGAAACATGGCCGCTCTCGTATTTAATAAGTCGCCCAGACTTACGTGAAAACGGGCTCTCTGATCAAAAAAAAGTTCCGCTGGTCGTTCTCACGCCAAGATGACGAAGATCACCACCTTGCTCTCCGCCGTCTTCCTGGCCATTGGAGGTAATACCACCACACCCCCATCCACCGCAGCGCAAATTTTAACGAATTTCTTTTTCAAATAGGTTTCCTTTTCGGTTATGATAGTGGTATCGTCACGTCCACTATCGGCCAGACTGAGTTCATCAAATATTTTTCCAATCCGAATGACACTGTAACTGGCGGTGTTGTCTCGGCATTTCAAGGCGGTGCCATTCTTGGGACCATAATCAATGCCTTCACTGGCGATCGACTAGGGCGAAAGCTTTCCGTCTTCACCGGTGCTTGTATTTCTTGTTTTGGGTGCGCCCTGCAGGCCGGTGCAATCAACATGGTCATGCTGATCATTGGTCGTTTCATCGCTGGTGTGGCCGTTGGTATGCTCACCTCGGTTATTCCGATGTATGCTGGTGAGATGGCGGAAGCCAAGACTCGCGGCATGATGTCTGGTCTATTACAATGGATGTTGAGCTGGGGTTATCTCATCGCTCAGTGGCTTGGATACGGTTGCTCTTTTGTAGACAGCCCCTTCCAATGTAAGTTTTCTCGTGAAACCCTAATTGCAATACTTTGAAAGCTGACATTCATTACTTCCAAAGGGCGTTTTCCTCTTGCATTCCAGTGCATTCCTGGCTTGATTCTTGCTGGTGGAATCTGGTTCTTAAATGAATCTCCCCGGTGGCTCATGGAGAAAGATCGTCATGACGAAGCGCTGGCCACTCTACACAGGCTTCATGGAGACGGTACTCCCGAGAAGCAAGAATACATTGAGATGGAGTTTCAAGAAATCCGAGATGTCATCGATGCCGAACGCGCATCGACTAAGATCACCTGGACTACCATCATTACAAAGCCCTCTTGGCGCCGCCGTTTGATTCTTGGCTGCGGTGTACAAGCCTTTGGTCCTCTTTCTGGAATCAACGTCATCAACTACTACGGCACTCGGATCTATGCTTCCCTAGGGATTGATACGCATACCTCGCTTATGATCATCGGTATTTCCGGTGCTCTCTCTATTGTTTATTGCACAGGTGGCCTTTGGGCGCTTGAGCGTGTCGGGCGTATCAAGCCTCTCATCGTTGGATCAGTCGGTATGGCGTTAGCTCTTGTTGTCAACGCCGCCATGTCTCAGCATTATGATGAAAGCAATACCAACCAACTCCGTGCGATGGTTGCGATGAACTTCGTCTTCAGCTTCTTTTATACCTTCGTCGGAATTATCTCTTGGGTGTACCCGGCTGAGATTTTCCCTGTGGATATTCGCAACCAAGGAAATTCGGTCACCACTTTTACCAACTGGACCATCAATTTGGTTTTCGCCCAATTCTCCCCGTCCGCACTTACTAAGATTGGCTTCCGCTACTTCTACGTTTTCTTCGTCTTCAACATCATTGCTATGCTCTGCTATTTCTTCTTTTACCCGGAGACTAAGGGCAAGACATTGGAGCAGATGGATCTGCTTTTCGGAGATAGTAATGACGTTGCTGCGGTGGACGAAAAGTTGGGCCAGCAGGCTGTTGTTGAGCATGTCATTTAATATCTCGCTATTCTGGGGTATTCGCCCTTAAACTTGAAGTTGCTCAAGTTGCTCAAGCATTTCTCCATTATGGGACCCATGCATAGCCATGACTACTAGTCACGTAGTATAATACGAATTTCAGAAATCTTAACGAATTTTTTAATCTTCAATTTCAAGGAATCCTACAAATATTCATAGCCCTTCCGAGGTTACTTCGAGTTATTCTCAGCTTGTGGTATAATATTCAAATACTCCGATTCTGTCTATTGCTAATTGGCCTCTAGACTGCCCCCTCTTTATGAGGCATGTCCTCACTAGGCCAGTTCTTGAACTGCCTGCAAGGTAGTTTGGCTTCAAACATCGCGTCAATATCCAAAGCCGAGCGACCTTTCATCTCCGGGATAATCAACCACGTGATGACGAATGTCATGAAGCACAGTCCAGCATACACAAATCCAGTTTTGCCTTTGAGGTCTCCCGCATCAGTGTTGTAGATATACGGCAAGACAAGATTGAAAACCACGTTAGACAACATGTAGCAAAAAACTCCAATGCCTTGAGTCTTAGCACGAAGTCGCAGGGAGGACGTTTCGCCAGCTACTGAGTATGAGGCTGGCCAAGCGCCCATGCCGCATACAACAACGACTGCCATCATACAAGCCGCGGTATACCTATTCTCTATATTAGCCTCTGGTGCAGGTGTCTTGGGCAGGCGAGAAAGCCAGAAGGGAAATACATACCAAATAACGACATTTCCTGACCAGCAACCGGAGATCCCCATACTTAACCATATAGCCGTAGTAATGGCTAGCGTGATGAGCATGAGACGACGCCTTCCAATGAGGCTCATAAACCAAATACCAACCGCGTTGGCTAACAATCCCAAAACAATACCGAGAATCAGAACGATAATACTCAGACTAGAGTCCATACCGACCACCTGCATAAAGTAGCTCGCACTAGCTAATAGGGGGACTCCAAAAAAGCTGGGAACCATAAATGCGAATCCCACAATAGCTGTTCGGCGTCTATTGATTCCTTTGAAACAATCAAGATATGATAGCTCTTGGGAAAGTTCCTGTTCATGAGCAATAGATAGTTGCATCTGAGTCAACAAAGGAGTGACATCGATCGCTGTCGTGTGCAGAGACTTCATCGCCTGGTATGCCTTGTCGTAGTCGCCCGTTCGAATGAGGAAAGAAGGACTTTCGGGCATAATGATTGCTAAGGCGAAAGGCAGAACGGTAAATATCCACTGGGTACCAAAGGGAATCAGATACGCGGCTGCAGAGTCTTTCTTTTCACAAGCGAAAATAACGGCCGCCCCGATGAGCTCCCCTAGAAGCATGAAAGTCGGCGAAAGGGCCATTGCAGATCCTCTCAGACTGGTGGGAACCGACTCTGAGAGATATGTCTGGGCTCCGGCCATCGCGCCTCCAACTCCCCATCCTTGAATGAGACGTCCGACCAGGAATGCACCTCTCCTGAGACCCCATGTCATCCGGGAGATTCGAGCAGAATGCAATGGCGATTCCGATTGCGCATATCACAGAGCTCAGGGCCAGTGACATGCGACGACCGAGGCGATCCTGGAGCCATCCAGCTGCGGCTGCACCCAACATTGACCCTATAGGTGCCATTGCACTCCATACTGATAGCCATGCTGCCGGGATGATGTATGCTTCGTCGTAGAGCTGGCCGAATTCACGTTTGAAGTATGGGACGGCGGTGATCGTGCCGAGGATAACGGTATCGTATCCAGTAAGAAGAAAGTTTAGTGCGAGGCCGAATGAGTAGGCCACAATCTTGGGATAACAACGGATTTCGTGAAGGAGCCCGTGTGTAGTTTCGGACCGATCAGGGGTAAGGTTCAGATTCGACTCGGGTTCTGAATTGTTTCCTGAGCCGACAGCATTCTGTGCTGACATCTCAAATAAAATAAAATTTATTAGGGACCGAGAAGAATGAAGGAAGCAATAGACAGGAGAAGGATGTCAGTTTCGAGTCGATACTCGACTGTGGACGCCTATTTATGCTGGTAGATCCGGGGTCGCCCACGGGAAAGCCTGGAGAAAAGTATAAGTTGTGGCGAAGGTCACATTGCGAATCGCCAAAGATAACACTATATCGGAGATTCCCCCTTGACCTTCCAATGACTCGTCAGCTTGGACGAATTTTATGCGATTCTGGAGCCATCGGTGGTCAAAACCCGGGGGAGAATCTGAGGAGCAAACGGACTAAATCGATTCCTGCCGATAGAACCAATCAAAATGCGCGAATCCTGCGTATCATCAGCTCTGATTGGCCGTGTCGGCAACAATCCTATCTCCACATCATTTCAATCTCTTATGCGATGTCGGATTGTACTGTTTGAATACGCGAGCCTAGTTGTAAAATGAATCAAGAATTGGTCTTTGAACCAGACTCCCAACCGAGGTCATTTTGCAACCAGGTTCGGCGGGGCTGGTCGACTTCAAATAGCTGGCTGTCCTCTCTTGAATGCCGTCCATTCTCCAGGAATAATTCCAACTGTAAGTTGTCTTCAAAAAACAACATTCGCCTGATTATCTTTTCACCGCACGAAATTCTGATATCTTATTTTTTTTTCTAGGTCATCTTCCAGCCATCCAACTGAAACCCCCGCCATCATGGACCTCGCCCGAGTTATCAAGCCCTGGAAACTTCAACCACAGAAAGCGCGCGTGCTTCAGAACGCGACGATCATCGATCCCGTCAAAGGCGAACTAATTTCGAATGCATCCGTGAAGATTTCAGGTGGTCAAATCGTCGCTATTGCCACCGATGGGTCGACCGCGCTGAATGAAGACGTACCCGAGGAAGACATCGTGGATCTGGGAGGAAAATACCTATGCCCAGGTCTAATTGACTGCCATGTGCACATCGCAGTAGTACCCGGCGAGGCAGATCTGCGCGCCTACAAAGATATGACGGAACGCATCAGTCTCCTACGCCAGCCTCACGTTTTGAAGACCATGCTCAGTCGCGGTTTCACGTCGATTCGAGACTGTGGAGGAGCTAGCGGGGCAATGAAGGAAGCCGTCGAAGAAGGCGTTCTACCAGGCCCACGAATGTTTATTGCAGGCTTTGCCCTCTCACAGACCGGCGGTCATGGAGATATGCGGGGGCCACACGATGAACAGCTCTGCTGTGGCGGCACTGTTTCCGGTATCAGTCGGATCGTCGATGGTCCGGCAGAGTGCTACAAGTATGCACGCGACGAGCTTCGGAAGGGAGCTGATTTTATCAAGATCATGGGAGGTGGAGGTGTCGCAAGCCCAACGGATCGCATAGAGCATGTGCAATTCTCGGATGAGGAGATCAAGGCTATTGTCACGGTCGCGAAGAATGCTGGTACATACGTCACAAGTCACAGTTATACACCTCAAGCTATCCAACAAGCCATCAACCTAGGTGTTCGAGGCATTGAGCATGGTAACTTGATTGATTTGGAGACTGCCAAGTTGATGGCGGAGAAGGGTGTTTTCCTTACCCCGACTCTGATCGCCCACGTTATGTCCAAGCAGATGAATTTCCTCCCAGCCGACGGAGCCGCGAAAAACGACGAGGTTCTTGAGAAGGGGCTCCGGGCAATGAAGATGGCTGTCGACTGCGGTGTCACGGTTTGCTTTGGCAGCGACCTTCTGGGGCCAATGCACTTTGCACAGAGCAAAGAGTTCTCCGTTCGCAGCAAAGTCCTTACCCCACTTCAAATCCTGCAAAGTGCGACCATTAATGCTGCTCGTCTGGTGATGCAGGAGGATCGTCTCGGCCAAATTCGAGAGGGATTTGCGGCGGATCTATTGGTGCTCGACCGCAATCCGTTGGAAGATATTACGGTCCTCGACAGGGCGGAAGAAACTATCCTGAGTGTTATCAAGGATGGAAGGGTCTTTGAATCACGAGTGGAACGCCTGAAGAAGGATCTCTAATTTATCTTCACCGCGTCATTAAGACTTCACAAGTACCATCTCCAGCCTGGGTCATAGCGTAAATACCACGCTGATAATGCGAAGCAAGCGACCCCCAGGCTTCAATCAATCCAATTGTTCGAAAAATAAAACTCTAATGAAAGACTATTCTCGCCACTAGCACTGTGACTAAATTTTTGGAAAAGAGACATACCCGAAGGCCGAAGAGATGGACCCTTATGATTGTCTCATATTGGACTAGGAACTGAGTTTCCGGTCATCCTTGCCACAAATCTAAAACCTTTAGCCCACTCGACAGAGCCTCGAAGGAACTCCAAAAAAGAAAAAGATTTTCGTGAAAGCCCTATGATGGTTGGTCCAAATCTCCCCTCACAATTTGGTCGGGGGCCGCCGATCTCGATCCTTCGTGGGGTCTAAAATTATCTGATCGATCCTTGCCCTCAGTGTTGCATCCTTGGGGCACAGCACAGCCTCGCCAATACAAGGTCTTGGGAAAATCGTATGACTCGTAGCTCCCCAACTTATCTCATTCGATCAGTACCATCCATGATGGAGTTGAAAATTGGGCTTCCGGATATCGGGCGTATTCAGATCTCTACTCGGGTATAAATAGCCCCCATCATTTAGCTTGATATGAATGAGTTGATGAATCTTCCTTCTTAAACACACAATTTCTCTATCATTTCCTTCCCACCTTCGAGCTACAGTACTACTAGTACTAATTGTACCATCAACAAAACACGACCCGCATTTCACAATGAAGTTCTTCGCTGTTGTTTTTGTTGCCTTGATGGCCGCTGTTGCCCAAGCCGATAACTGTGCTGCTGGTCAGTATTCATGATCTTGATCTAGTATTATTTTATTGTTCCAGGGGTTCATCAACTGACTTCGAAACTAGTCGGAGGTGGTTGTTCAACAATGGCTTGTTGCGACGGCCGACCCTGCGCATATGATATGCAAACCCACAACCTGATTTGCAAATAAGTGTCATGCACCGGATCAAAACGGGCCTGTCAGATTGATGTCAAACTTCAAAGTTGAATTGCACCTTTCATAGACACAAGGTGTATGCCAATGCAACCATGTTGTCAACTTTGTATCGTCAAACGTAATTCCGAAACTTGGAATGACATAGTTTTCGAGATTTTCAGTATTACGACCCATAACTATCTCCCGATAGGCTCATGCAGGTTAATAATTTCAACTCATTGTCTTTCTGTAGAGAGTAAGTTTGTACTTTATTCCATTGAGGTCCTATTAGCTATACAGGCCTAGCCAGACCCCCCCCCCCCTTCCACAACGCCACGCCAAAAAAAAAGAGAAACAAAAAGGAGAGAAACGCCCCGACGCGAAGAAAGAAAGGATACACCAAATATGATATGGCATGCCCAGAACGCCGATATGCTATCATACAAGGATCATACAAGGCACGAATACATTGAAAATACAGAGGGACGAGGCCCCGGCGATGAAGATGACGATACGCTGTCCTATGCGGAGATCGTATCTATCATCCACCGCGACTTTGCCGTTTCAGCCGCCGCATCTGCCGCCGTGACGAGTATATGGCTTCCTCCGTCAAGATTTCGGGCGGTGGTTGGAAATCTTGCTCCCCGGCTTCTGGGATTGGGTGCCCGAATGCGAGAATCGTCTGGGGAATATTGCGCGGTGTGCCATCTATCATCGCAACGGCAGCGTCGCGGATACTCCGGTGTTCGAAGAAGGATGTGAAAGGCTTGTCGTGGGGTGGTGGAGGTGGTGGAGGAAGAGTTGGGGCGGGTGCGGAGGGTATAAAATTCATGTCGAGGAGAGTTTTCTGACGCTTGACGGGATCTTTTGTGCTCGTGGAGGTGTTTGTTGTGTCTTTGCTTTTGCTGGTGGGTTTGGTATGGTCATCCCCAGACTTGGTACTCAGTTTGCGATTTTCAGAGAGGGATTTGCGGTGCTTGGCTACTGAGGCTGAGCGCGCTTCTTGGTGTAGTTGCCGAGCAGCCAGTGCATCCACATCATGGGGATCTGGCGGAGTACTAGGCGTGTCCGTTAATGGCGAGCCTTCCTCGCTGAGTTCCTCGGGGCCGAGTGGTTGTTTTTGTGATCGTGGGCGGGCACGTGGTTGAGACACTGTTTCTTCAGCAAGCAACAATGGCTTATCTTTTGACATCTTCCGTCGTTTTTCCACGTCCTTCCATGTTTGAAATTTGTTGACTAGCGCAACAAGTTCCTGGATGAGAATCTGGCGCTTTGGTTCATATAGATTCTTCTCATTCTCGTGGACACCCGTCAATCCCATCACACGCAGCCAATCTTGACCACGGAGATCTTCCAGCAGTCGATCAAGTTGTTGTTGTTCATGCTGGGCACGATCTCTCTCGATGTTTCGCAATTGTTTCTCCTGTCGTTCGAACTTGCGATGTGCACGGAAGTATAGTTCTTCATTCAAGGGGTCCACTGCAGGCGCGCGCAACGCAGAATTTGGAAGATCGATTACTTTGCAACGGTGCAGGTTTTGTAGTGGGTTCCCGAATGGTGAGGGATTCGGGGTCGAAGGCGAGGGTAAAGGTTCGGGGAGATCGTGCACCAAAGCAATAGTTGTACTGGCAGCAAGTGACTCTACTGAATCGCTAGTTAGCTTCTGATTGTGCAGTGTTGGGGTCATCCAGACTCACCAGGCTTTGGGTCATCGAGGCTAATTATCTGCTCATAATTGTAAAAGTATTGAGCGAGTTCACTTTTGGAGCGAGAGCCCGTGTCGGTAGAGCGCAACGAGCGTCTTTCTGTCCCTGTGCGCGCCGACGCGTCTTGCGTTTGTTCAACTCCGAGCTCACTTTGCTGCTTCGGTTGGAGCCCCGGGTCTGCAGTATTCCTCGTTGTTTGTGACGCGTCCTTGCTCTTCGTGGCATTAACCGGCTCCCCCGCGTTCGGCTCGAGATTATTCCGTCGGGTGGCACGAGTTGCAGTAGGCGAAGCCACAGGCTCTGCTTCCAAATCTCGTATAGCACTAGAAGGTCTGGGGACCGACCTGGTGGGTTTATTGACCGGGAGGGGTGAGATAGTGTCCAATGGATCCGGCGACTCGCGCCCATCCGGGAGCAAGAGGGAGATGCCGCCAGAGGGCCCATCTCGGTCGCCGAGCGCACGCGGGGTCTTGGCGATGCCATTGCCGTTTACTCGAGGATTTCCTGCGGTGTGGAAATGGGAAGATGAGGCAATGCTCTCGGCCGATGAGTTGGACATGCGGCGGGCGCGACGTGTGGCGGTCCACGGGCGCGCGACCTTCAGGGAAAGATTGGGTCCGACTTTGATGTGGGGAGATTTGCGGTCGGGGGTGGTCGTATCTAGGCAGTCAGGGGAGCTCTGGCGACGGCGACGACCAACCTCTTGTTGAAGGCGCTGTCTCTTCATGGGTGGCGCCCCGTTGTCGTCGGAGTGGTCGTCGGGAGTCCGTCGCACAGTACCGCGAAGAGGGAACGACAGGAGGGCCATTGGTCGACGAACGGAGGGGAGAAGCGAGTTATCCCAAAGTCATAATGCGATGCCCTCAGAAGGGGGAGGCAGCTTTGGATGTCGAATCAGTCGCAGGGTGTCGGCGCGGGGAGAGGAGAGGAGAAGATGTTGCGAGGAGGTTCTTGGCGGGTCGCGGAGGGAGGAGAGTAAGTATGAGTATGAGTATGAGTATACTAGTTATATGTCAATGCCACTATTATGTACTAAATTTACTGGTAGAACTTGTCATAATAACATTCATCGAATCATTTGAGTTATATAAGTGACTATAATCATTATCCAATTTTTACTACTCGCAGTACTAGTAGTATTCGCATTGCATTCCAAACCTACTTTTAACTAGTATTAGAATGAATTTCAGTCTTCAGGGTTTAGGGTAATACTTACTAGGTAGTTAGTCAACTATATAGCCACTGCTTGGTAATACTAGTACTATTGCACTGATACTAGATTGAACTTACTACCTGCCAAGGTTCTAAGTTTACTATCTATATAAACTACGACCTGGGTAGTAGCTGAGATTATTTGTGAGCTTCAACTAGAACTTGACTACTAGTACTACTAGTACCTAAAATATATCGGAACTGGAGTTCGATATTTGACGAGGATTTTTGGCATAATGCCCAGGTGGTTCAAGTCAGTAAGCGTACTAGTAGTATTGCTTCAAGATCTTGACCTGGATGTTGTTCAAGCCATTTCCGGTTTGGTCTATAAAATTGTCATGTTTCATCTCAACGTTCCTCTCGGTAGTCTCGTAGAGTTCGAGATGATAGCGACGTATCAAAGTACCCAAAACCAGATGCATCATCGTCCATGCCATACTAGATTCCGTCAGTCATCATCAATGGACCAATTTTAGGCTTGAGGTTCCAAAAGTCACGAGACATCCTTTTGCCCTACGTATCCTATTGTCCCTTTTGAGGCTGGAAGGAGGTACTTTTCTTGCTTGCGCAAATCATCCGGACTCAAGAGCCATCTTTCAGGAAAAAATTTCAAAGGTTCTGGGAAGATATTTGGATCTCGAAGGACAAAGTATGTCGACATGCTCACATAGGTCTATTCCTCATTAGCACGAAATCTATTGTCAAGAACTTGAAGAAATGGTACTAACTCCCGCTGGAATCAGCCAGTCTTGGTATTGTAGAACCTCGTCAGGCGCTGAGCGAGGAAGACGAGTAGTCACGATTGATGAGAGACGGAGACCTTCTCTGATAGTTGCAGTCTGCTCCTCGTTAGGCTAAGGGAGTACAATCCGGGGAATAGATCACTACTTACAAGATACGGAAGTTTCTTGAACTGTTGAAGAGTGGGCACCGTATTCGGATCTGGGATAGTAAGAAGCTCCTCCTTGAGTCTGTCATAGACATTGGAGTTGTTTACTATGTGGAACAGCGTAATTGCAAGAGCTTGCGCAGGCGCATCGGTATCGGCCATCATAAGAAAGATTGCATCATCTTCCAATCGTTTTAGCTCCTTCTCGCTCTGAGGTACCTCTGAGTCTGCCAAAATATTAGGATAGATAGACCTCGCCGTGCCAACGTGGGGTATTTCGACCTGGGGCAAAGTCTTCTTGTGTTTGATTTGCCGTTGATCATCAACTGCAACCTTGACCATTCTTCTGACGGCCTATCTTAATCAACCATTACTCTTGTCCAGCTAGAGACTATAATGAATAAGCAAAGGAAGTTCGCAGCTTACATCTTCAAAGTCAAGGACGTGCCCGAACGATGGAACAGCCCATCCAGCCACCCAAGGAAACATATGAGCAAGTGGATCCAGTAACGGGAAATGTCTATTTATCAAGACGGAGTCCCTGGCTTCGCCCTTCTATTCCAAAATATAATAGAAATACAGCCTGAGCTACATTCCAAGGTTCTGGCTTAAAAGTCTTCCCCGACCAAAATGTAGTAGTTTCAACATCGAATATCTCTAACACCTTGTACACCTAGCAATAAATATTTTCTTTTCTAGAAATAAACATGAAGTAAGATTATACTCAGGTAAAGGGCAGTTATATCCTAGAACAATCTTGAAGAAGGTTGATTTTTTTGCCTGACTTAGCCCAAATTTTTGTGCAGCACTACTAACATGTAGTTCCCTATCTAGGTAGACAAGGAAATAGTTTAGAAACTGAGAAGACTACCAACTTGAATGGAGGAGCTGTCTCTACCACCTGCATAGCTAGCAATCCTACTTGTATCTCATTGTCCTGCAGTGTTTCGATAGTACTAGAACTAGTAGTAGTAACCGAAGTGCAAAGGATGAAGTCCTCCATACTTCGAGTTTCATTACTAATCCGACCAACCCCCACACTTCGTAAACGTGGGGTAAATCCATTCGTGAAACATCCACTCCGAGTCGCCACCTTACGACCTAGATAGGTACTATTATGGAGATATACATCCATTGAAGTTGCACTGACTCATTCCAGATTCATTTCCAAGACTAATATCTACCAGGATTCGAAACGGCCTTTGTTCCGATGAACAGCCTTGGCCTACTTTGACCAGCATGCAATCACCGAGGACACACCACATCAACCCCGCATTGAACGTGGGGGGAGTCCTTGGAAGACGATCGGATGAGATGAGGGGAGAAAAGCTACTCCCCACGCGCCCGTCAACCTTGGAATGATGGAACTGTGTGGATGACCTTCGGAAGATGGACGGCTAATGAGATCGACGCCGGTGGGGGACGTGGGGGGTTGAGCAATCCAACTGAGGTTCAAGTTATTTAGTGGCCGACGACCCCATATTTCTCTCTCTGTTTCTTCTCCATTCCTCCCCCATAATTCCCAGTAAGGCGCATCGCATCAACCCCCTGTTGTGTTCAATCGCTAACTCAATTGCAGAATTCCATTCACCATGACAGCCAACGGTACTATCAAACGAAACCCCCCTCCCCACGGTTTCTACGTGCCTACCGTAGCATTCTTCGAAGCCGATGAAGAGGTCGACCTTGCAACAGTCGAGAAGCACGCCGTCTACCTTGCCCGTAGTGGTGTCACCGGTCTAGTTACCCAGGGCAGCAATGGTGAAGCCGTCCACCTGGATCGCGCCGAGCGCAGCGCCATCACTGCCGCGACTCGTCGCGCCGTCGATGCCGCCGGTTACACCTCGATGCCAGTGATCGCGGGCTGCGGAGCTGCGTCCACACGCGAGACTATCCAACTGTGCAAGGATTCAGGAGCAGCTGGTGCCGACGCGGTGCTGGTGCTACCGCCCAGCTACTACAAGGCGCTGGTAAACACCGAGTCGATGCACGCCCACTTCCGGGCTGTGGCGGATGCCTCGCCCATCCCCGTCCTCATCTATAACTTCCCCGGTGCCTCATCCGGATTGGATCTCTCCTCAGACGACATCCTTACCTTGGCCAAGCACCCCAACATTATTGGTTGCAAACTCACCTGCGGTAACACGGGCAAGTTGGCGCGGATCGCCGCGGGCGCCAAGTCGGATTTCTTGACATTTGGTGGATCGGCCGACTTCACGCTGCAAACTCTCGTCGCTGGTGGTGCGGGTATCATTGGTGGCACTGCCAATATTATTCCCAGGTCATGTGTGCGGGTGATGGAGCTGTATCGCGCCGGAAAGGTCGAGGAGGCACAGAAGCTGCAAGCGATTGTTGCTCGGGCGGACTGGGCTGCTATCCATGGTGGATTTGTTGCGGTCAAGAGTGGGCTGCAGTCATATCACGGATACGGTGGTCTCCCTCGACGTCCTTGTGTGGAGCCCTCTGCGACGGCGGCGGCGGCCATCCAAGAGGAATTCCGTGAGGGCATTGAGCTCGAGCGGAGTCTGGAGAAGTCAGTCTAAACATCACGCGAGATGATAGTACTAGCCTACAGTGTTTAGCTGAATGAATCATGATACCTCTACCCCGCTATTTGGTAGTTTCTAGAGGTACTGTAGCTTGTAAACAAGCCACCGGGGAGGGCACGGGGCTCTTGATATACTATCGAGGAAGCGAATGCGAAGCGGAGAAGCGAGATGGAGATGGAGATAGGATGTCACTGTGGTATTTCCCCTCTACCTTTAGGACACTCCTCCCTCCTGCCTCATTTCCCCTTCGGCACTACTCACGCACCACGCCTTCTTTCTACTCCACTCTCTTTCTAATATGCCCAAGGCCAGCCGATGTCGCATGTGGAGGTGCAAGTGGCAGGTCGCACCTGACTGATCCCATTGATGTAACCTGAAAGACTGCCCACTGCCACTCTGAAACATCCAGGGATTTGTTTATCGAAAGATCCCACTCAGCCTGCATGTCGATCGGTGTGATCGGCATGTTCACTGCCTCCATAAATATTCCCCAACCTCAACCTCCTGTCTGCTCCTGTCGGTCTGCATCCTCGTCCTCCTCCTCATCGCCATGAAGTTCTCCCTGTTCGGTGTGCTCGGTGTTCTCACCGCAGCCACTGCCGTCAAGGTGAATCCACTCCCCGCTCCCCGCAACATCGCTTGGGGAACCAGTGGACCCATCGCCGTGAAACAACTCTCCCTCCACAGCTCCAGCAATGTTGTCTCGCACGATGACCTGAATAATGCCTGGGAGCGCGCCTGGTCCGCCATCACCACTCTCCACTGGGTTCCTGCCGCGACAGAAGCACCTATTCCTCACTTCGACCCCTTTCCCACCCCGTCGCCGAACGCCAAACGCGATACCTCCGCCGCAATTCACTCGGTACACCTCTCGGTCGCTAAGGGCGATGCCGATCTGCAGCATGGCGTCGACGAGTCATATACATTGGAAGTGACAAAGACATCTGGTCGTGTTAACATCAAGGCCAAGACCGTCTGGGGCGCCATGCACGCGTTCACAACCTTGCAACAGTTGATCATCTCGGACGGTCATGGTGGTTTGATCCTGGAGCAGCCCGTGAAGATTACAGATGCACCATTGTACCCGTATCGTGGTATCATGCTCGACAGTGGCCGCAACTTCATTTCCCTCCCCAAGATCCTGGAGCAAATCGATGGCATGGCCCTGTCCAAGCTCAACGTACTGCACTGGCACATCGATGATGCCCAGTCATGGCCAATCCAGATGCGCACCTACCCCGAGATGGTGAAGGACGCTTACTCGCCTCGCGAAGTCTACACCGAAGCTGATATCCGGAACGTGATCGCCTACGCCCGCGCCCGCGCGGTCCGTGTCATCCCCGAAGTCGATATGCCCGGCCACTCCTCATCTGGCTGGAGACAGGTTGATCCGGAGATTGTGGCCTGCGCTAACTCTTGGTGGTCGAACGACAACTGGCCGCTGCACACCGCCGTTGAGCCGAACCCAGGTCAATTGGATATCATCTACAATAAGACCTACGATGTTGTGCGCGATGTGTACAACGAGCTGTCCGGCATCTTCACCGACAACTGGTTTCACGTTGGCGCGGACGAGATTCAGCCCGGCTGTTACAATTTTAGTACACATGTCACAGAGTGGTTCGCTGAAGACCCGTCACGTACATACAACGACCTGGCCCAGTACTGGGTTGACAAGGCCATCCCCATCTTCCGCGACGCAGGCAAGCACCGCCGCATCATGATGTGGGAGGATATTTTCCTATCCACCGAAGCTGCCCACGACGTCCCCAAGGACATCGTTCTGCAGAGCTGGAATAACGGCCTCGGCAACATCGACAACCTCACAGCCAACGGCTACGACGTCGTCGTCTCTTCCTCCGACTTCCTCTATCTTGACTGCGGCAAGGGCGGCTTCGTCACGAACGACCCCCGCTACGACGTGATGTCGAACCCAGACGCCAACACACCCAACTTCAACTACCAAGGATTCGGCGGCTCCTGGTGCGCCCCTTACAAGACCTGGCAGCGTATCTACGATTACGACTTCACCGCCAACCTCACCGACGCCCAAGCCAAGCACATCCTCGGTGCCGAAGCCCCCCTCTGGTCCGAACAGGTCGACGACGTAACCATTTCGAGCTCTTTCTGGCCGCGCGCCTCGGCTCTCGGTGAGCTTGTTTGGTCTGGAAACCGCAATGCGGCCGGTAAGAAGCGCACGACTGAGCTCACTCAGCGTCTGCTGAACTTCCGAGAGTACCTCGTTGCGAACGGCGTCATGGCTACTGCGCTTGTGCCGAAGTATTGTCTCCAGAACCCGCATGCTTGTGACTTGAACTACGATCAGACTGCTATCGTTTGAGAGTAGGTTGCAGCGCTAGGTCTAGATGACTTTTTCCTTCTTATTCTCGTATCTTTACTCGGCTCGTCTGTTATTGGATGGGTTGGGCTTGTTTTTGCATACTCTTAGCTTCAGGTTCTCTTCGATACCCAATTATATTGGCACTTTCCCTCAGTACTTTCCATGCTGGACTCGCGTATTCACCAAGCAATTTATAGGGATAACTGCACGATATTCTGGAAACCAGTGTTTGTCGAGTCTCTTAGAACCACATGCGACACCGTTGATGCAAAGCCTCGGAGCCATATTTGTCCTAGCTGTCAGTTCCAGCTACTAGTGCTAGTAATCAACGCAGTGAGCGGCCTTGAAACCTTAGAATGTGAAGGGTTCAAAAGTTTTCTGTATCTACTGACGATTCATAGATGGGCAATATACGAAGAAGCCCTGGAAGAACAATCTGTGATACAAAGAAAACATGCCCATATCTCGCAAAGGCTCTCCAAGTAAAAAAAAAGTCCAGACCTGCCGAGGTCTGGATGACAGCCCTTCTTGGTGAAATTCATTTACAATGATGACTTACAGACCACGTATATCGCACTAGGTTATAAAGTAAAGTAAAG